CCAACACCACCACCCCCACCGCCTGCCCACTGCATTGACTTACTTTCTGTATCATTTTTTATATATCTAACTTAACATATTATCACAATATAACTATTTAAATCTGGAGTATTATTTGACAAAGTTAACAAAGTTAGGGCATAGAAGTTAGGGATGTATTTTTCAATTTGTCTATTTTAGTTCTCATAGATTTTGGGGTTGTTCATTTCTTCAGGAAAGTGACAGACTTCGAGATGAAGATTTGTATAAATTTCTTCAAGATCTGAAGCGCCCGTGCTCTATAATGAAGAAGTTGAAATGCATTCCAGGAACTCTGAAACTAGACATATCTCCTTGCCCTGAGGAATACAAATACAGTTTGACCCCTGAATTGTCAAAATTGAAACCATATCCTGGTAAGTACCTTATAATCTATATTTATATTAACAGAATTTATTAACTAGTTCAGATGACTGGTAGTTGATTTTATTGTCACATATGAGTTTCATTTATGTTCATTTATTCATTTCATTGAGTTTTATTTACTTTTATTTTATTTTCTACTAGAGTAGAATAAGAAAAGAGATAAGAATCAATGTCTTTTTGTTTGATCTAATTCACTGGAAATAATACCCTTATCTGTAAAAATTAAAATACTTGATCTCAACTCACCTCAACTTAAAAACCACAAAATGCAAATTAATATTGGGACATAATATGTGCCATGAATATTGCCTGGAAAGGGGAGAGCTGCTGACAATATAGATTCATGTACTTCAGCGAGACCAATTGAAGCCTGGGAGGCCACCCCTGGTCCTGATTGGGTTGCTGGACACAAATCCCGAAGATGGGAAAGCAGAGAGGCACTTCTGAGGCAGTAATTTGTAGCTTCAGAACAGTTATCACACACAACTTGCTTTCCATCAAGGACCGGAATCAAATAGGGATAACGCAGCTGATGCATGGTGACAGTCATATCTAAGTCCAGGTCTTGTTTGACTGGAACCCTTCCACAAAGCTTGGGGCACTCTTTAGGAGTGATGAAAAAGGTTAACATAGCATATATTCATAGAAAATGTTTGCGATTGCACCACAAGTGCTTAATATAGTGTAAGTGGAAATTCTTTGTTTGTGAATTTTTCATTTTTATACTCTTACTCTGAAAGAATCTGAAATGTAACAGAGAAGATTTTAATATAGTTGGAAAAGGTTATGCCCAATAATTTAATGAATATTTTTGTTAATTATTGAAACAGTTCAGTTTTACAATAAGGTAAGAACAAAAACAAGACCGTATAAATTTAAAAAAAGATTTCCATCCCTCTTTTCAGCAAAATAATTAAAATATTTATTTATATATTTACATGTAAAAATGCAGGTATTTTAGTACTATTTATACCCAGAACCATTAATGATATTTACAAATATTTAATAATAATTTACACTTAAATGTTGGAAGTGTTTTTGAGATATTTCTTTCAATTTTAATGAACTGATCGCTTTAACTAATGCCAATCAAATATAAAATTGATTGACATTATAATGGTTGGTTGGTAGTGCATTAAGTTTCTCTGTATGAAGATATACCTTGATTTTACATTGACTTATTATGGGGTGTGACATTTAAATGAAAACAAATGAAAGCTATTTCTTGAAACAAAATATTATTTGTCTAAAAATAAAAAATAAAAGTGACTTCCATATCAGTTATGTGATTTATGCAGAGCTATATTATTTTATGAAAACTCCTGCAACTTGAACTAACCGCCTACATAATCAACCTGATGTGCTCAAATTCACTCTGTAAAGCAGTTTGGTTGAAAAGAGCAAATTGTGCATCTATAGCTGAGTGTGAAAATGCCAATTTAGGGTTTATTCACTCTTTCAACTATGCTTCAAGTGTAGTAGTGAAGAGTGAAAATCCTGCAGAAATTCACATCCCCACCCCATCACAATCTCCAATGCTAGTATAACAACATCCCTTAGAACACAAACAAATTTATTGAGTAATTAGCTCAGAGCCAGCATTGCTGCTGTCTCTGCAGCGTCTTGAACTGGGAGGTTCACACACACATTCACACTCACACTCAGACACATACACATACACTTGTACATACACTATACTGCCACACATGTCAGGAGACCAGGTGAGCTTTTCTCCACGGGAAATTTTGTGCCCAGCTAGGAGGAGACGCCTAGAGGGGGACCTCCCTGCAAGGTGATGTGTGGCACTAGATCTAACTGCAGAAGAGGATCACCACCAACTCAAAGGATAAGCCTCACTTCACTAAAAGGGCTAATGACTATAGCAATTGATGTGCTTGAGAACATCGATCAATCAAATCAACAAACACATTTTTATTGTTACAAGTTTTGCCTATCAAAGAAATGCTATTTTGAATCAGTCCATTCTGCGACTGCCTGTGCCCTGTACACATATTCTTGTGAATAACCGTCTATGATCGGTTAGCAATCCTTATCCAGACTTCTTAAAAGTTTTGAACGTAGCTACAATGTTGTAGACCATAGATCACAGGTACCTGAAAGACAAAATTAATTCAGTCACAGAACATGTAGCATAAGGACTTTTGAAAAATGCTGCCCATTTTAAAATTGTGTATGTTTAATAGAAACTTGTGGCTCTTGCTTGTGCCAATAAAACCCAAAAATGAATGATGTATATGATGAGAATTTAAAATTAAAAACTGTCTGGATTTAAACACTATACTCAGTAGTATGAGGTCTCAGGATAGGTGAAGATTTTATTATTTTGGTTTCTCTAGTTTAGAATTTCTTGAAAATTGTGAATAATATACATTATTGTGGCTAAAGCTTTTGTTTTCTTTAAAGGTTTTATATGTATTTGGTTAGGCTAATAGATAAGTACAAATGCCTTCCAGGTGTGTGGTACAACCTATAAACATAGAGGATTATGATTTTCCTCCCTTTCTTTTGCAAAAATAACTTGTGCCACTGGAACATTCAAAAGGTCCTGTGGTTCTTGTCATTTAATTGATATGTTATATGATATGAAACTATCAAATTTGATGTATTTGAACTAAACATATGTTAAAATTTATGGGACAAAAAATATTTTAGCCCCATAATGTTTTGCTGTGGTAATGCAAAAACAGAATATATAAATTGGCATTTTTCATTATTTTATGTTATGTATTAATAAATGTCTGTATTGCTATTGCATTAAAGGAGCAAAATTCAGTACTTGCTTCATTGTTGCTTGACCATCATTTTTGTTATTCATTCCGTCTAGTTTGCTTCTTGTATATCACAATTTTTACTTGTGTTTTTGGTGAGAATAAAATGATGAATGATGCATATAGATCTTATGAAGTATGTAAATCAGGGGAAGAAGAGACCAATGAAATGTCTTGATTGCATCTTACATAATGAATAATCAAATGTTATACTAAAACATTTAACATTACTTACAAAAATATCAAAATCCAAATAATGCTAACGAATATTAATGCCAATAATACTTTTATTATCTATTCTTAAGTCCCGAGAAATACATTGTTGCTTGTTTGCAGTGTATTGAAACATGCTTTCAATTCCTGATACTTCATATTGATTTTCTACTCTCAAATTTATGCTGGGTATATAAAACCTGAATTAAAATTATTTCAAACATGTGAAATTACTCCTTTTATATGAATTTACTTCCTTCTATAGGAGAGGTCGAGGAAATGTTGAATACATAAGCTTTGATGCAATGGTTCCCAGAATATATATAGCTGAAGAAAAAAGAACTACAACCTCAACAAAGAAGCTCTATTTATTGCCTTGAAGGTTGCCCTGGATATAGATGTTTTATGGATATAATAGACCGTTGCGATAATCTGTTTTTTAAAATTTCTGTTCAATTTAGCATTACTGGGGATCTGGCATACTACATGTTTTTCTTTGCCCCAGTATCACACGCTTGGATAATTTTTTCAATAAATTAAATAAAAGCGAATTTATTAAGCCCAGGGCCAACCAAATGTTTGCTATGGCCACAATTAATGCCATGACCTTTCCATGTAGTTTACTCATTGAAAAAATATTTATAATAACTCCTACATAAGACAGATATTTTAAACACAACACATAACCTGCAAGTTCTATCCTTATATGTATTTTTTAAATTAATTAATTAATGTATTTATAATCTGACAGACTTTCGTCCAATATACAAATTCAGAATAATACAGAAATAAAATTAAGAAAAATATGACTTGTGAATAACAATACAAATATTATAATCACTCATAACATAAAATACAAATGCACTATTCAGTAAAAAAAATTTGCCGGATTCCAAATGTCATATATGTCAATAGTTAGAAGATTTCGATTTACCTACAAATACATTTTTGAACTTTGAAGAAAAACACTGAAAAATATAGTAAACGATATTATTAGGGGCTTCTAATGAATCAGAGTATTTCGGGTGCTTCCTACATGCCATCAGTAGGTATCATAACTATTCAGGCAGCCAACCGGCAACATTTAGGTGCAAAATGTGGTTTTTGCGATTGTCCTGTTCTCCTCAGTGTTAGTGCCTAGTGTCAGTGAATATGTTATTTCTTTTTCATTCATTATGATATTTAACAGTAGTTTAATCTATGTCTGATAATTAAGATAAAACTTCTTATTTAATTAATTTTTTGCTTCACATTCATTATAAAAATTGTCAATAAATATTTTTTCCTAGATGAGAAAGGTCGACCCACAAAAGAAATTCTGGAGTTTCCTGCCAGAGAAGTGTTCGTGCCTCACTACTCTTACAGAAATTTGCTGTATGTATATCCCAAGGATTTGAATTTTGCTAGTAGGCCAGGTAAGGAAATTGTTATCTTTTAGAAATTATGTGCAGATATAGGGTATTCATTTTTAAACATAGATTGTATTCAGTATTTCTCAATAAGTTGGTATGAAGGGAACAATTTCACTGTTGTGCTATTGTAAAATATTAGACAACCCATGTAAACATTCTGCACTTTGTAAATCCTTGTGTCAAATATGAAAATGTGGGCCTTTAAAGCTGGGTTTTAAAGTGTTTTAGTTAGGTAAGAGTTGGCAGGAAAACATTTTAACTTTAATTTTTAAAGAAACAGCTTGTAATGTGAGTGTTTGTTGCAGTTTTGAGAGGTAATTCTCTAACCAATAGTAGCACTGAATTATTGGTTGGTTTTGATTATGATTGACACTTTCATTTAAATTACTTTTCTGTAAATAAGTTTTAGGGATTATTGAACTGATGTATTATGTCTAAAATATGTTCAACTAAACTTTTCCTCTAATTATTGTTCTTAACTATACATTGTATGTTTTTGTTGAACAATCTATTGCTACACCTGGTAAGGCTTTCTGAGTTTTCGAAGAATTGAATGAAATGTAATAATTAAACACTTGGGTGCTCTTTTTTCTTTTTGGATCAATGTACAGGTTTTCAAGGAAAATGTTTTATTTCTTGTACCACTGGAACATGATATTTTGCATAATATTTATCCGCATCATCAAGTGTAAACAAATATTGAATATGTTTAGGTTTGTAAATGAAAACAAATTTTGATAGCATTGTGTAGAATGAAAGTATTAAAAATAAAATTACTCAGTAATCAAAAATTTAATGTTTTTTATGACTTTAATAAAAACAGACTCAGTGTTTTTATAACAATTTATTTATGTTGATAATCAATCTGTTTTTCTTAAAGCCATAAAAACCATTGCAGTAAAATAAACAAGATAACAGAAGCTAATATATTCATTAAAACCAGAGATGAAATTATGCAATAAAACAAGTATTAGTAAAAAATATGTAGTAAGTACAAAATATATGAATATAAAGAGATGGGAGGAAACTACCAAATCTTGATAAAATTTGTCAAAAAATTTTAATAAAATTAAAACCACCCTCCCTCTTCCTGTCATTTCATTCTTGGCCTCCTCTTTTTGAAGTGAGGATGTAGATATTTACAATGGGAATGTTTTTCTTTATTTGTTTTGGATTTATCTTTTTAATTTTTATGTATGTATTTTTGACGGTTTAAATGAAATGTATATTGTACACTAACTGTTGCAGGCTCTGCACGCAATATTGCTGTGAAAGTGCAGTTGATGTCAGGGGAGGAAGAGCATCACGCCCTACCTTTCATTTTTGGAAAATCATCTTGCCCAGAATACACTACTGAAGCGTACACATCTGTGAGCTACCACAATAAGTAAGTTGTTGGGAACAAGAAGAGGTAGGGTAGCTAAAATAATTTCATGTTTGGATATCCTGATTAGGGTTTATTATTATTATAAATGAGAAAAAGACAAAAATTTTCCATATCATAGCACCAAAAATTGCAAGAACACAAGTTAAAATATTAATTCACAAATCTGATTGTATTCACAAAATCTTTAAGAACGGTCAATGTAACAGCATAATTAATTCTGTAAGTGAAGTAAAGTATTCGGATGTAACTGTTGATCAGAATCTGAGCTGGAAAGAGAAGATTATGGATCTAAGCAAGAAATTAAGAACATGTGTGTGTAAACTTATGAGGATTAAAGATTTCGTATTGTATAACATTTTCAAATTAGTCTACTTCTCATTAATAGAGTTTCTGATCTGATGTGGAATTGGAGTATGGGGGTCTGCATCAAACACCCATGTAGGTATTATTCAAAATTTGCAGAACAAATGCATTAAAATCCTCAATGAAAAAATGAATGTAACAAACCTAACCCTGGAAGAGAGTACAGTAATTTTACAAAGAAATTTTTTCAATGAGGAATATAGAAAAATCAGTGAGCACAAGTATGAAACTAATAAGAAACAATTTCATACCAGAAACTTTTAATAAATTTGGAGAAAGAATGCTTGAAACAGCTGTTCCAAAACTGCTCAACACACTGCCAGATGAAATGATAGAAGTTACGTCTAAAAGAAAATTGAAAAAGGAACTAAAAGACTTGTTTATTAGACAAAACAAAAAATAGAAAAAACAAGATGAAATAAAACAATTAATTATTTATAAAAACAAACAAGCTAAAAACAGACTATGATGTCAATTTTTTACTTTGGTCAAATGCAATCTTTTTTGCCTGTTGCATTTTTACAATTGATTTGTAATTTTTGTTTATTGTTTTATTTTTTTATATATACCAGTTAATATATATTTCCATTTGCCCTTTGACAATCTAAATATACAGTGTTTATTACCTTCAAAATGTTAATAATTTGATTTGGTATTATGTCAATTGTTAATAATCTTATATATGATATTTAATAACTGGCAGAATAATTAATTGTTAATAATTTTAGTTGTAATTATGTCAATTGTTAATTGTTCACTGTAAAGACTCATCTTTGTTATTGCTTCCTAGTTATTTAATGAATTGTCTCATAATTTGTATGGCTCAATAATCAATATGTAACGTAGACAATTTGTCAATGTACTTCAAGTTAATGTTAGTTGACATTTGGATCATAATTTCTATTCCTTCCTTGGAAAAAATTTAAATTTCAGTAGAAATGTTTCATGCAGCATACAGTAACTGGCAAACAATACAGGTGATTGGGTGAACTGTAGTCAACAATGGTAATACGCAAAATAAACATACAAAAGTACTAAGTAATACACCCGTCTCTGACACATTCAAAAAGTACTTAGAGAGGGTTTGGAGCAAACTGGATAAAACAAATTATATTTCTAATATGTTTACCATGATGTAATGTAGTCAAGCAAAATTAGAATTCTTTCTGCTTGTTGTTTTTATGGTGATGGTCTTTGTTCTAAATTTTTTATGTAAGTAGTAACATCTGATGTACACAGTTATCAATGTAACTGTTTGGAAATAAATTATTTTTATGATTGTTATTGTGATTATCATTATTATGGGTATTAGTAATAGTATTAGTTACTTCTAACTAAATATTATTTCTTTCTCTCTCTTTCAGATGCCCTGATTTTTATGATGAAATTAAAATAAAGCTGCCAGCAAATTTGGGAGATCAGCATCATCTCCTCTTTACTTTTTATCATATCAGTTGTCAACGGAAAGTAGAACAACCTGTTGCAGAAACTCCAGTTGGATACACAGTAAGAACTTGTGGTAGATTATTAGGGGTTAAGCTTATTTCCACTAATTTCCTTCTTCCCGCTTATCTCTGTGCTTGTAAATAGGAATCACTATTGTAATTTTTCAATTAGTTGGTAGTATCCTTGTGTTTAGCAACTTTTGGAACACTTCATTTAACACTGGGGCTATTTCGGTTTCATGTCTTGTTTAACAGAACAGAAGGGATATCATCTGGCGCAGCTGCTGAGTCTGTGTTTACAGGTGGTATTAACTTTGCGATGCTGTGTCAATGTGGATGTCTGGCAAGGTGTAGGTGTAGGTATAGTAGGTGTGGATATATTTGGTAAAGCATCTTGGGGCTCTGTGGAATAACAACCATCAAGTCCTGTTGCAAAGATTTCAGCAACTTCTTTTAGATTTGTTCTGTTGATGTGGGCTGGTCCGTGTCCTGATGGGGGATTAAGAGAGGGCTATTCCTTTTTCCCCTTCTGCTTCATTGCTCCCCTCCCCGTGTATGCTGAATGCCCACCCATGTGTTGGCTCTGCATGGCGACCCGAGTTGGAGGGAATGGGTATCCAGTGTCCTGAGGGTTAAGGGGTCTTTTTATTTTTCAACTGGCTCCCCTTGAGCTATGTTGCACCTTTGCTTCGAGGGATATGTTATATGTGTATTTTGATGAAGGATCCTTGTAGACCTCGATACACTTGCTTTGGCTAACCCACTTTCCATCAATCAGCTCAGTCTAGGTGTTTGACCAAACTCCAGGATGAGCAGGGCAGTGGTGACCGAGCATATCCAAACTATCACATATATTTTTATCTGTACCTCTCTGATGTTTTCAGCTTTTTGCTGTAATGAGTGTGAAATTTGGCATAGTAGTCCTATCTAAATTTTTTTGCTACTTTTTGGTCAATCAAAACATATAAAGAGTAACAAAAGCAGACAATACTTTGTATTCAAGATAAATCACTGTTCTTCAAAAAACATGTGAGAAATAAAACCAAGAACTTCAATAATGAAAGCATGCTTTGATGGATTTGAAACGATTCTCCCAATGTTGTAATTCTGTCAACATTTGTACTCAATGTCTTGTACACAATAACATCTTGATGATGAAAACCCTGTTACTCAATGGAAGGGATTGGCTTAAAGTTTTTTCTGGAACTTGATTCAATCTATTACAAACAATATTTTCTAGGCTTGAAAAAACTAAATCAAGTTGAATGTAAGTATTTGCCATAATAGGTCAATTGTCTCACTTTGCCGGCTACCATCCCTCATGTGTCCCTCGTATCTGGGTCTAGTTTAATTCCCATGCTTCGGGGGGTAAGACACATGTGACAAACATGACTTATTCCCTTCTCTGTAACTAGCAAACTCTACCTGTCGTGACACACAAATACAGTGAGAAGTTTTTAAAGGCAAGCTACTATTATTTTTGCCCTGACAAGGAACCAATCCTGGGATTACACAACGGGAAGCTAGTATGCTGCCCATGAGTCATCCTAGACGTAAATCAAGTTTTGAGCCATAAATATTATTTCTATATTTTTTTATTTTAACTGTATAAAACCCTTTTACTTCTCATTTTCAATGGATGATAATGTTGAAAATACAGTTTTTACGTATGCTATAATTTCTTTAGGATTACAAATGTTGAACCTTTTATTATAATTATGCTCTTTTGCAGTGGCTTCCTCTGCTTCATGAAGGGCGCTTACAAGTGGGCGAAATGTGTCTTCCAGTAATGATGGAACGTCCCCCTCCAAATTACTCTTACATTCCAACAGAAGTGATGTTACCAGGCACCAAGTGGGTGGATAATCATAAGGGAATATTTGTTGTAATGCTGGATGCATTTTCATCCGTTCATACTCAGGTATGTTTTAGTTCAAGCCAGTTTCAAACAAGAGTAATCATTGAATACAGAACCCACTCAGAATTACTTAGTCACTCCTTTTACTTTCTCACCTTACTGCTTACCTAGTAAAGAGAACCTATTGCAATGCTGTGGGAGAAATCATATTGTGGGGCTGTAGTATCGAGGAAGTGGTTAAATCTTCTTCCTATGTAGTAAAATTACTTCCTCTGACACATTTTGTTGTCAGAATTCATGTTCTGTGGGTTCTTGATACTGAAATATTGCTTGACAGCAAAACGTTCATTCGTGGTCAACATGATCAATGTCCTAAATCATTCACACCATTTTAAAAAAAATTCATATTCCCTAATTGATCTGGATGAAATTGAGTCTCTCTGAGTTTGAAACATATTTTGATTTTGGGAGTATATTACATGATGCCAAACACTCAAATTTTTTTTTTAAAACTTGCACCAAATTTCTTGAATAAACATTTTCCTTGGATAGCATAAAGGATGCTTTAAAAAAATTGAACACATTTCATTTTTGTCTAAATTTTTGATGATTGAAACCATTTAAAACATTTTCGCTGTCTTTTTACAACTGTAATATTGAAGACAAATATTTTATTCTTAATGAAATTTGTTCTTTAAAGACAGGTTTTGAAATAAGGTCATCAATGTTTTGAAAATGTGAGTAGTTTATGTGCAAATCTTTCTCCTCTGAAATTTTGTTTAGAGATATGCAAAGATCATTAGGAAATGTTCCCTAGAGAATCAATCCTAAATAAATTCTTGTACCTTCAAAATATTTACAACATAATTCTGACCAAAAGAGTTCTAAAAGTGTACCTCTGACTTAAGACCATAGAAGATATTACGTATTGCCCACAAAGTATTTAATTTGCTTGATTGTGATTTGAAGAATGAGAATATGAATAGCCAGGAAAAAAATATATTCCAGTATGGTTAAATAATTTGAATGACTGTTTTTGCCGGTTTTATGTAGTGTAATAGTTTCCTTTTATTCCTTTCTTGTTATTTATGTACATGGAATGTCTCAAAAACTATTTCTTGGGACCTAAGTGACATTATAAATAATTACATTGTAATGTAAGTTTCAGTTTTTTCTTCCTTAATCCTTTCTTTTATCCCTTTTTTCCTGCAGTTTGTGTTATAATTATGTATGTTATAGTTAACAGGTCCATGCACAGCAGTATGCAAAACTTGTGTTGCTTGTATGTTTATCTTGTGTTTAGATGCAATTTGTATAAAAAATAAATCTTCAGGGTTGCCTTCATTACAGGATTATTTGAACTTACAAATTACTTTTGATATTGGGGGAATTGTAATAAATGTCTGCAGCACAAATATAATTTATTGAATCACAGATGATATCATTGTCCTTATGTAATAAAGACAAATCATTTATTACATTGATCACGTTAGAGAGAAGTGTTATTTATGAATCTCTCATTTGTTGGTAATACAGAAAGTTGATGATACAAATGCAGCTGAGAAACAGCTAATGGGATATCTGAAAGTAATGAGGCAGAGTGAATCAAACGTCCAGTTCCTAAAACATTTTTGGCCTGTTGTCTGCTTCATTCCCATTGTTGACTGTCATTTCAATTCTCAATGAGAATTGGTTCATTTCAACAGTTATTGTTTCTATAGAAAAATCTAGATATTTTTGTGGGAGGGAATTGTCTCCATTAAGAGTAATGATGCAGAATCAATTTTACTCACAAATTTCAGTAACTAGCTCATATCCAAGATACTTGGGACTTAAACTACCTATGTTGCACAAACATTCGGACAATTAAAGTTTCTTTGGTAAAGTGTAATGAAAAAAATGAGGTCTTATTTTCATTTATAGTTTGATGTTAAACAACTACTTTTATGTAGGTACATACTAACTTTTTCATTGTACCATGCAATTTTTACTACAGTCTCTCAGAGTCTACTAAAAGCAAGAATAACAAATAAACAATAACAAACTCAATGTTTGATATCCGATTCCGATAATTTCTGAATTTGGGGAAGTCCTAGTAGTCTGAGAATCGGTGCAGGCATTGCCCAACTCACTTCTACTGCAGCAAGTACTTCATAAATTTGTCTATATCATTATTCAATTAATTACTTTCTTACTTACTGTCTTTTCTTATGGCTGCTGCGGTTAACCAAGACTTGGATAATCGCAAGCAAAACAGGTAAAAAAATTTAAAAGAATGTTGAAATGATACCATTGTCACATGAAATTAACAATAAAACACAAATATCCTTTTATTTTTGACAATCAATAATGTAATTCATAAAGTCTTCTTTTGTACAATCACGACATTTCACATGTAGGTTTCATGTGTCATTGGCTGTGTACATTATTATATTATTATTATGTGTGTATATTATTATTATTATTATTATTATTATTATTATTTCATATCAAATACCAAGTTTTCCTTCAGCTTCCATAACAATATATCTAATGAAATTTTCCATAGACGCAAGTCAAAACCCAATTCTCAAATTTTTAATATATGTATTAAAGATAAATATTGTTTACTTAACTCTCTAGCCACTCAATTGAAAAACATTGACATAATTCTTCAGTTTTTTTGTATGTAGGGATTCTGTAGATTATTTCTACCTCACCCAATGTTTCAGGTTGAATCGCCTTTTTTGGAAAAATATTTCTGCCAAACAACAATAACTTGCCAAGTTATATGCTACACAAGGGTCTAGTCAGTCTCCTGTGTTATGTGATATTGATAATTGTAATAAAAAAGGTTTTTGAAATGTGTCTGACCAAGATATTCCAAAGATGACTATTAACATTATTTTGCTAGGAATAAAATTTCAACTTCCTTAATACAAACTCTGACAAATCTGCACTTGTTATTTCCACCATCAAAGACTTACTGTATGGAGTGCAAGGTACTGATAAAAAAAAATTATGACATTCAGTTGTTAATTCTTTATATTCCTTTTCAAACAAAGATATAGTTTACACAGAGCATATACTTTCCTGCTTAAATGAAACCAAAAAGTTTTTGAAAAAACATTTTGATATTTTGTTTATTGGTTGTGACTAGGGAGATGGGTTTGCTGCTATTACACTTTTTGATTACAAGTTCAAAATTAAGTGTCTGTTCATAGATACAGGCAAATATATCCTATTAAACTGCAGCATACTCCCAACATTTTTAAAAAAAGTTAGGATATTATTAAGTGATGGAAAACTTGGAAATACTAAATTTAAATGTTTTTAATAAGATTACCTTACTTCTTGATAATTTTCAGGAGCGTATGGTTTACTGAAAGCTCATAAACAAGATTATCCTATATGACCTGTTGTTTCATCTGCCCCACTATCATTTATGCAATTTATGAAATTCCATACTGAAACCAATTCTCAGTATCAATAAACAATATTGTATTGTAACAGTTTTGAACTATCTCGTGAACTCTTAAATTTATCTGTTCCTCTTGATCATAAAATCATATCTCTGGATGTTATTTCTGTGTTCCCAAATACATCTCATCATATCCACTTTAGAATATAATGTTCTCAAAGTTGAATACTCTGATGCATTCTTGCTCACATACAATTTCAATTTGATGTTATTTATCATCAGGTAACAGGTCATTTTCTCAGTTCCTTTTTTGCAAATAGTCACGAGGAGATTAAATGAATCGCTTTTTCCAACCCTTAATCCATGTTTTTACAAAAGATCTGTTGATGACCTTTTGTTTATTCTACATCTTAATGAAATTCCAAATCTTTCAAAAGTTTTAAATTTCTGCAACAAATCTTGTCAATTCACATTAGAGAGATCAACTAATGGACTGCTCAATAATTTAGATATTTATATCATGCAAAACATTTCTCATATAGAAACAAATTGGTTTCCAAAGGGATGTGCCACTGGTCGCAGGCTTAACTTCTATTCAACTCACCCTCTTCCTCAAAATATTAAAATGGTTTATAAATTAGTTAATAGAGCAAATAAACCTTTCTCATTCCAAATATCATGCCACTATTTTAAACATTGTATGTTGTATTCTCACTGAAAAAAATTATCCTTTTCAGTTTATTCAAGTATCTCACTAAACGCTTGTCCACTGTAAAAAACAATAAACAAACAACAGTTAATCCAGCCTTAAAATTATCAAGTGAAACTTCTAGTAGTCAGTGTCTCATAATCACCTTACCTTATGTTTCTAAAATTAATGATTACCTTCGTAAAAGAATTCTGATAAAAAATTGGACATCAAAAAAAGGAATAAGTATCCGCTCAAACAAAATTTTATTAAAAATGTCAAAGACTATATCCCTTCAACCGTAAACAAAATGTAGTCTATTGCCTAAAATTGCCTATTGCCTGTCATGATTGTGCAGGCTCCTATGTGAGACAAACAAGCAAAATATTAACGAACATATTAATAACATTAAGGAGACTAGCACAAAATTGAACTTTATGTCTCAAAATGCCTTGGTTTTGCCCATTGATTTAATTTTGACAGCCCTACGATTTTGGATAATGAATCCAGAAAATATTGAAGGTTAATCGCTGAAATGTTTCATATAAAACTAACGAGACCATTAATTCCATGTCAGAATCAAATCTTTTTACTAATATGTATGACAGTGTTCTTTTGAAAGTAAAATATAATAAAATTTATGTATTCGAGATAGTTCCTGTTTTTGCTATTGCAATTTTATTGGTATACTTTTGTTTAGATCTTCTCTTCCCCTCCCTCACTCATTTCTTACTGGCTTTCATTGTTATACATTTAAAATATGAAAATCTATTTTTTAAGTGAGTGGGCTCCTTTTCTGCAGATACTTGCCTCTCTCTTCGTACAGTGAGGATGTATGTTCTCATAATGGAAACTTTTCCTTTTGCAGGTAAAGGAATTATTCTTGGTTTAAAAACATTAAAAAAATATATAAGTTTTACAATTAAAATATGTGCTTATTTAAATAATGTTCTCTCCCATCTACTTTATATTTTGGGCTTATTACTTATTTAACAGTTTTCATTGTTTTTTATTACTTATTTTAAAAAATCTGTATTCAGTATCTTCAAAAAATTTTCTTTACTTTCAGATGGAAACATGTTTAATATTTTATGTACACACCTGACGATGCGTGAAACCTACATGCGAAATGTCATAATTGTAAAATAAAGATTTTTTTTGATAAATTACGTTGTTGATTGTCAAAAATATATGTATATTTGTTTTATTGTTTATTTTTTAAAAATGTCATAGTGCTTGAAAAAATTATCCAATTTGGATTATTTTCATGAAAGAATGTTCATGTATCTAAAGCCTGTTAAGAGATTTATAAAATTTCAGTGGAATGAAGTTTTTCAGCAAACTTCAAAACTTAGTTTTTCAAAATTAAAAATATTTTTGTGATGACTAGGGGTGTGAAGGGAATTAATTAAATTTTAACCTACATCATTATAAAGAGAACATTTTTCAGAAAACTGTTTATTGGTTTTGGATGAAAATTATGAATATAATTGTTTTAATTTGGCCTCATTCTTTCAAGTTTTATGGTGGCTTGTCTTATTTTTTTTCTTTTCTTTCATTTTAACCAATGTATATTATCTGTTTCAATTTTAGTCTATCAGTAATACGTGAGAGGTATTGATTGCTCACTCCTTGTGGAGGATATCTTATTTCACTTTTATATACAAGCAAATCAATCAGACAACTCTAAATTCCATTCACTTCAATTTTTACGTTTAAAATCCATATGATATTTATATTTGCATATGATCATACCAAAATGAGGTAACCCAAAGATTTATTAGTAATATTAACAAGATCTTGAATATGTAATTTAAATGGCAAGGTCTTAGGAAGTTAAATTATTCTTTTGTAGTCGAGACCCTTTTGAGAGTAATATTCCCAAATAAGTAATAGTAGATTTAAAAAATTGACAATATTTGGCTTTTGTTGGGATAAGACTTTAGCTTACTTAAATCACACCACTCTGTCAACATTTCCAAGTTTTGTTGCAGCACTTCACAGACATTGATGCTGTAAATGGGCAAAAACAATTCAACCAAATTGACCAAAAATGGATTATTTCATATTATGACTCGGACCACTGGAAAGTTGAAAGAAAATTGTTTCAGTATTATTTGTGCTTGTATGTTTTAGGATAAATATCTTGACAGATTTCTCAATTTGTGTACTATTCTTGAAGAAGGCTCTATTCCTCCTCGGCTTGGAGACATTGAGACTGAATTACGCAACAGGTATAGTTGTACACGAATAATAAATTGTATAATAGTTCTTCACAGTTGTCATTTTAATTCTAATTTTGTTTCAATTCCTCTTTGCAGTATTTCAGAGCTTGCACTTGCAAAATCTGAACCACTGGTCAAATTTCTTCCATTAATCATCAATAAGTTATTGTTGTTAATAGTGAAACCTCCTTCTGTTACTGGTCAAATCTTAAACATTGGACAAACATCATTTGAAGCCCTGGCTATGCTTGTCAACAATGTTGTGGTAAGTTTTTCCCAATCAATGAGTGTCTCTGACTTGGGCAAGATTTGAATGTATTGGACGGGAAATGATTGATTGTTTCTCTCCCAACGTATTTAAGTGTGTCCTACGAAACTTGTTTCTGTGACATTTACGTTCAGGTATTGTCAGAAGTACTCTATATTGAGCTGGGAGTTTTCTGGATATCATCACTCTAATTTCAAAATTAATTTTAATTTAGAGAAAATTACTAATGTGTTGGCGAGTTGCCTACAATTTAGATATTAGGTTTGTTGTATTGCCAATGTATCACTGATGATCACTACTAGATAGATATGCACTTCACTTCAATTTTGACTTATCATCAGTGAACCCAAAACAGTAAGTCTACAACCCTTTAATGACCTCTGAGTGGCAAAGATTCTGCTTTTCCGTTGACATTGAAAGAGTTGAAGGATTTGCTTTAACTTATATTTTTAATTATATTTAACTTTAATTAATGAAGCTTCTGCTTTAACGTAATTTTAAAGCTTACAAAAGGTTTTACATGACTGTGTTAATAAAACTTCTGATTAACCTGTAGAAATATCCATTAGAGCAGCTGGATTTTTGTTGTTGTTATTTGCACAATAACCTTTTTTATAAACTCCTCACTTTTCAAATAGATTTATTGAGTACTCCCTTGAAATTTTATCAACTTGGTTATCACTGTGATTTTGATAATGTGATAACTTGAAAACCAATTTGCTTAATTTAGCCGTAGGGTTAGTTTGATTTATTTTTTTATTTATTATTTATTTGAGCAAATATTATTTGAACAGTCTTATTTGTATTATCAGTGTTCTCAGACTGTGCCGGTTAACAGTGCCATTATGCCAAACATGCCATTGTGTGCATGTTTAACTGGCAACTTGTTGTACTTTTCTCTCATTTCCATTTGTGCCCCTGTGAAGAGAACATGCTGTGTGTGTAGTTTAAAAACCTCTTTTGTTAATTATCATGTTTTTTTAATAATAATAATATTTATTTAGTCACATATACAGTTAGAATTGTGTATGACGAGTCAATATGATGCCTTGGGTGGAAAGAGCGAAGTTACATTACTGTTCAGGAGCAAACAAGGGGCCACCTCAGCATTTGCTCAAAGGACCAGGGAAACTGAACAAAACCTGATCGAGATGGGGTCATTGGCCTAGAAATACAATACTTGTTACAGTTAGATTAGGATATTATGTAGATAATTATTTTTATTAGCAGATAATTTAACATTTCAAGATGTTATTTTAATGCTACTACTTATAATAATAATAATAATAATAATAATAACAATAACAATATTTACAATAACAATAATAATAATAATAATAATAATAATAATAATAATAATAATAATAATAATAATAATAATATTGGAACAATACATATCAATTCTTTTAGCACCTACATAAAATTTAACAATAGTAGTACATTCTATGTTTAGAACTTGAAACGGTGAGGAGGCAAGTTTTGACCAGTTGTTCTTCTTCTTCTTTCAATTTGTACATGTAGTCCAGAGAGAAACAGAATTTTTTTGTCTGGCATTCTCCTTCTATTTCACAGGATGCGAAATGCCAGGTCTGAGAATTGAAGAAGTGATGAAATCAATGTCATGTTAGTAAAGATCAAATCTAAGATTGCAGGGGTTTGGCTGCTTTTATATCTTGTAGGTTTGTGCACTATCTGAATAAAGTTTGAATTAACATAAGACTCTAAGAATTTTTTCTCAATTTCTGTACCCGACGAAGCTCTGTATTTGGTCCATTAGATTGATGGGAAATTAAAATCTCCAAAAATCAAGACTTGCTTGTATCGTTTGCTACTCTCTAAAATTCTTTCAAAGAGTATAAGTTCAGATTGAACAGGCCTTGGATCCGACATAGGGAGTCTGTAAACTCTTGCAGTAATAAATTTGACACTACTTATTTTCAAGTTTAACCATAAAACCTCTATGAGGAGATTATGTCATTCATATAATATAGAAGCACCTATAGCAATAGAATTTATTGTATATCTGACGTAAATTAAGTTACCTCCTCCATGTTTGTTAAGTCTGTCATTATGAAAGATAGCATATCCAGGGATATCGATCATAGTCGGTGTTATCTGGCTTCAGCCTTGATTCCGTGATGATTATGATATAAGGTTGGACATCATCATCTTTGGAATAAGAGATGAGATATTAGTGTACATAATTATTGGATTTAGTCCAACCATGCTCGTTGCTGCTTTATTTGAAAATTTAATTTAGAATACTTATATATTTGTATGATTGTACTTCTTGTATCAGTTTGCCATGTAATAATATTTAATGATGTCAACAAATATTAGAGTGATTTCCTATAAATATGGTAACTTTATTCAATGAAAATTACTTTTTATTATTTGCAGCCATTCTTCTAATAGTTGAGTATATAGTGGGGATTGAAATTCTATTTTCCCCCTTGAGTTTGCATCTTCACATTATCAGATATAGTGAACCAAAAATGTTAGTGCCCAGAAGTTCACTGTAACCGGAGTTGACTGTAATTACAAATAAAGAATTTCACTTGAATTAGAAACAGAAGGAAATTACCGGATGCATATCCAGTAATATCATTATTTTAATTAAAATATTTTAAAGTCTTTCACATTGCCTTCAAATCTGCATTTAAATACTTCAGGGGTCAATGCTTTTTGCGTCAACCATTAATTCATTAGCAATTTCAAAGAATCATGATAACATTTGCAATAGAATTCAGATCTTTTCATTTCCCAAATAATTCTGTTTGTTTATTTAGTGAGATATACTATGCATTTTAATTGCTAGATATAACCTAATCAGAAAAATAATTGAACTGATTGGAGTTGCACCACCATCCAAATAATAGTCTTATTTCTTGTTCCAGGCACTGCCAGAAGGTCATCATGACCAGAATGGACGTCACAGCTTATTGACTACTTACATTACTTTCCAATGTAGTTTGCCTCATCCTTTTGGAAACCAGCCATCTGGTTATTCACCGCCACAGAGCCCGTCTGGCTTTGCACCAAGACCACTTTCTCTACCTCCGCAGAGAAACAGGCACTTAAGGTTATATTGTCAATTAATTACTTAACTACAAGAATGTTTGTTTGCTGTTGACAGCATGGGGGGAAAGAAAAAAAGTGAATATTTCTGGAAAAGTAATTTGAAGACAAGTTCAGGGATACGACAAACTTTTCAGCAGCTAATAGAATTCATTATTCATTTGAATTTGCTCATTTCTCTTATTATGTTTACTTGATCATAATAGTATTTTTTCTTTCTTCTTTTCTCATTTCTTTTCTTTATCTGGAGTTTAATCAAGGGCAAGTTGGAAGTGTTTGTTCAAGATTCTATTTTGATGTTTTTTATGTATTTCTTTGACTGTTTATTAGATATGTTTTCCAATAAAAAATTAAAAGTAATAAATTACGGTCAATGCAAGATTTTTTAAATTTTATTTAATGCATTTATGTAAGAGAATTTACACTTTCTGCATGTTTCAGCAGGAGCAGTAGCAACCCTGATGTACATGCACAAATGGCTGATGAAGAGGAAGTGAATGTTGGCAGTTCTCGGGGTCTAGATCGCACTTCCAGTGTTCGGAATGGTAAGACTCCCCTTCTCTTGGTGATTTCTCAGTCACACTTGTAATTTAGAAAATGTGTCAGGAACTTTATTGGCTACGTTTTTATGCACAATCATATCTTGGCCTTATCAAAAATCCAAAAGTAGTACCAATGTATCTGAATCCAAGATGATCCTATAAAAAGGGTTTTAAAGAGAATTACACTAGATGTATTTCCTAAATTTACAAAACCTCATTTGGCCAGATCCCACTTAATCTTGCTCACTGAAATGGTGGTGGTGGTGGTATGGCGAGTTCACATTACACCCTAGGATATCTCTTGCATCCCAGCTTTCATTTCTCTCTATCACTGTAGTATTTATTGTTCAATCCTCTCTTGACCATAGTATCTTCTACTCCATCTTCCCATGTAAGTAGAGATCTTCATCTTCTTCAATGTGTATCTGGTTGCAATTCCACAATATTTTCAGTCAACATTCTTCATTCACTCTTTGCTTTATCCATTGAAGTCAGTCTGGAATTTCAGTGCCAGAAATCCTTTTCCTTTGTTGTCTTTTTTATTATTTTTTTTTTTTAATTTATTTATTTATTTTATTTTACTTCCTGTACTTGAGACCCCTAAAGAACAATATTCTCTATGACATCAAATTTTCTCTTTACACTCTTACTTAACTTATCTTTCCATAACAGTGGATGTAATTGTCTATAGCCATTCTGCTTTTCCCAGTTTCTGTTTTTAATATCCTGCATACTGTCTCCATTTACATTTATTTCTGTACCTAGGTATGTGAACCGGGTCATCGACCCTAAGCAAACAAGGGGCCAGGGCAAGCTGGACACGTCGGGTCGTCATCGAGCTGTGTGTGTGTGTTCGCGGGAAAATTCTCGAAGGCGCGACGTTTGAAATGTGTGTTCGTTGCTCTTAATTAACCTCAAAGAATAGTCAAAATGTATAAGTTCCAAGTATGGCGCCAAATTTGAATTAATTTGGTCGCCTATGGCCATCACTTTCAAAAATATTAGTGCAGTTTGTTTGATGCATACCATTGAGGAAGCGTATGGGAAATTCGAAGCCGTTGTGCGGCAAAGGTATTGTACCATTCTTTTTGAAGCACAAACCTTTGGCCAAAGCGAAAAGATTCGGCAAACCAAGAAGATTGCCTCCAGGTGGAAGTGCCCACCCAACTCAGCCTCTGGAAGGGAATTGTTAAACCGTGAGGACAAATTAGTCTCATTTTTTAAGACCCAGGGTGCGGCTGACATTTACATATGGAAGAAGGAGCATGGGTGAGAAATCCCCAATTTACTCTGATTCTGACATTCGATCTTACATTTCTCCCAGAAAGGATCTGCAGCTTTATAACCTTTGTAGTGCCTATATATGCTTAATCCTTTGCGCTGTTTAAAGTGATGAAGGCCATATCTCCATGTCAAGAAGCTATCGACCCATTTCACTCACAAGCTCTGTATGCAAACTGCTGCAACGTATGGTGCATCAGCTATTGGTTTAGATCTTGGAGAAAAAAAATCTGCTGATGCTAACCACAAGTGGGTTTCGATGAAACCAACCTTGGACCATCTTATTGTGTTGGCAACAGCAACGTTGTTCATCCTTAGGCAACATCTTATTTGACATAGAAAAGGCCTACGACACCATTTGGAGGTATGGCATTCTGCGAACCATGCACTCTTGGGTATTAGGGGGAAGACACCTCCAAAACTTCCTCTCAAACAGATCCTTCCGTGTTGTCATTGGTGATGGGCATTCTAGCGGTCACCCCCTAGAAAATGGTATCTCTCAAGGATCAGGGAGTGTCACTTTTTTTGCAATTTCCATAAACGATATAGCGTCAAAGAGGTGAGACCTGTAAAGGCGTCACTGTGGATGATTTTACCATCTTTTGTTCGTCCAGCAGTATTAATGGGATCCAGAGGCAACTTCAACTGGTGCTCAATAAGCTCCAGGACTGGAGTATGTCAACAGGGTTAATCTTTTCTCCTGCTTAATCTGCTGTTGTTAATTCTGCAGGATATACCACTTGTATGGCAATCCAGCCCTTTACTGGGCAGGAAATCAGCTTCCATCAGAGGTGCTTGGCAATGACGATTCTGCGCTCTCAAAACTTTTTGTTTTTTGAGAGAAAGCAAAATGTTTAATTTTATTTGATAAGGCCACTGTTTTATGTTTCTTGGTGCCTTTACAGCCAGTTCTACGTTTTATGATAAGTTTCATGTGCTCGTTTTATCACCTTTCCCTTTTTGCTTTGTCTAGTATATTTTATGCGGAATTAAATCCCTCTTTTTATGTTTTTTTCATGCTTTTAATCGGCGAATAAGTAGCATTTGCAACACTTTTACTAAATCTATTCAATTAAAAAAATACTTTGTCATGAGCATCAATGACATCAGTAGTTGAAGTGCCCTTTAAACCCCAATCAAATCAATCAATCAATTTCTGGTATGGGTTATCAGTCTGTGGTACTCAGTAAAGGTTAATATGTATATTTTCTACTTTTTCTAGGACCAGGTCAAGATAACTTCATGTACATCTCAGCAAACTCTCCTCCTTTGAAAATTGTTCATGAAGAGTTGGCTTTGCAGTGGGTTGTTTCAAATGGATCAGCTAGAGATCATGCTATTGCTAACTCATGGTATGTTACATTGTATTTATTTTTGTTATTGATGGATTTCCTATTTTTGTTCCTCCCACCTTCCAATATCAATGGACACAATGGCTGAGATGTCACTCCAAGCACAACCTCTTAGTTACTTCACCCAGTCTTCCCAACTGTTCAGGAGCGATCAGTGTTTGCCTCAGTAGAATAATACTTTTGGCTCTTGAGTAGTTTAACAGTACATATTGAAAGATTAACTGCAATATTGCAATTACCGAACAAACGTAATAATCCTGCACACACATATCATATGCATGGCAGATTTCATGCATGTAATGGCTTTAGCCAACCTTGCTCTCCACACTCATCAATGCCACCCTCGAAACCAAAGCGAATGGAAAGAGAAGCATTACTAGATCATTGGGAGAACAGCTGTGAGTTTTCAAATTCTAGGCCATTTAGTAGTGAGCTTTAAAAACTTTCTGAAAAATCCGATCATGTAATGCAAGGAATTTTAGTGAAATATTTTGTTTACAACCACTTTCCCTTTTTGCATATGCGTAGAGTGAAAATTCGTGCATCTTATTATGAATGCCTTTGAATTGAATCACAGAGAGCTTAAAAAAGAGGAAATTAAGAGGAAATTTTGTAATAAAATTTCTTAATTCGTTACAAATTAATTTCAGTTGCCTTAACTTCTATTATTTTTCTCTTCTTTACCAATTAAAAAAACTGTATTCAAAGGGTGCATTTTTAACTTTATTTTAGTTCAACCCAAATGGATTCAATAATAGAGCCCAATTCCATCTTCTTAATTGTCTTGTCATATTTCTGCGTTGCTCTTCATCTCTTCAACCAACAGCTTCACTGTCAGAGGCATTAGTTTCTCGCAACCGGAAGCTTTGAGTGTTTCACTTTGCCCAGAACTGATGGGATGATTTTTTTATATTAGATTCTATATCAAAGGAATGTTGGTCAAGATGGCCAAGATCATTAGTGCACTAGTGCTGCAGCGATCTCGGACCAGAAGACGGCGGGTTCAGTCCCACCTCCTGCATGGGTGTATTTGTGTTTGTATATATGTGTGTGCCGTCCTTTCATCCCCCCCTACCATCATCATCATCCATACCCCCAAGGCTAACAACCTTGAGGGATAAAAATTGGAATTCAGCTAAAATGCTGATCCCCCTTGCACCCGTTGAAGCAGGATGCATGCGGGGTCCAAGTTGACTTACACATGAAAAAATAAAAATAAAAGGAACATAACATGATTTGCAAGAAATACATTTTAATATGTAGTAAAACAATAAAAGATCATTTAAAAAAACACAATTATCTCTGTATATAGTACTGTTACACAAATGACAAATAATCTATGTTTTCAGTCATAAGAGAGATAGTTAATCCCTTTGACTATTGGGAGCGCCTTAATCCACCTTGTATATCGTACAATGTAAATATTTCAATATTCAAGGGATTAAATGTTTTAACTTGGCAACAGAAAAAGCAGTGTAAATTTGTGATGAATTTGAATGTGAAACCATGAATTTGGAAGTGAATAGACATAAAATTACACATTTATTCAAAACACTCTGGGTCTTCCAACATGCCTAATCTGCAATGAAAAATTATCAAATAATAAAAAGTCTAATAACGAGCGTCCTTTTTTTTGACAAATCATGAATCTTTCATTACAAAGTATCCTCTTGAGGATGAAAGGATGGCAGCAGTGATGGAATTACATCATAGATTGCAAAAAATCAACATCGTTATTTAGTGTCTGGATGCATTCTACTAAGTGTTGCTGTTGCTCAGTTTTCATCTGCTTTTTTTATACAGAACCCAGTATTGTGGGTTGTTCATGGTTTTGTGAATTCAAGTGTACAAATGTAATGATCTAATGAGTGATCTTTTCTTTTCAGGTTCTTCTTTGAGTTGATTTACAAAAGCATGGTTGAGCATCTAGCTACTACCCAGAGTGTGGATGCTCCTAGAAAGATGCGCTTCTCTGAGCAATTTACTGATGATGTGACTACATTGGTAACAACCATTACATCTGATGTTATCTCAAGATGCAATAAGGATGCCAAAGTAGGAAGAAAGATATAAAAATTTAATTGTTGATTTCTGGAATTGTTTGTAATTGTGAAAGATTTTTTTCCCTTTTCAGCCCACGCAAAGTCTCAATTCAAGTTTGGCCTTTTTCCTTTATGATTTGTTGTCTGTAATGGATCGTGGATATGTGTTCACTCTCATAAAAAATTATTGTAAGCAAATGTCTGCCAAAATATCGTCATTACCAGATGCTGTAAATCTGATCAGTTTGAAGGTACAGTCATACATTTTTTTACCCCTTTTAGTGAGTGGAAACTTTCACAAAATTCATTAACTGATTATTAATGATTTATATATTTATTAATCATGTTTTGTTCCCTTTACAGTTAGATTTTCTACGTATTGTGTGTAGTCATGAACATTTTGTTGCACTGAACTTGCCCTTTGGAACACCTTTCACACCAAGTTCAGCTCCATCGTCTCCAAATCCATCAATTGCATCTTCTGCTAGTCAGTCATCATTCCTTTCTACCTTGGTTGGAGGAGATAAAATGAGCTTTGCTGAATTGTCCCCAGAGTTTAGACAACAACATTTTCTAGTTGGCCTTGTTCTGAGTGATTTGGCTACTGTTTTGGAGATGCAGTATGTTCCTTTCCTTTGTTTATACATTGTTTGTATGCAAGAGTAATTTGTTTTTGTTTAGTTAAATAATTTGATCTGCACTTAAAACAATAATTGTAACCAAAAATAGAATAGAGAAATAAATCTGTTATGTGGATAATTTTTTGTATAGGAATCCTGGTCTTCATTCCAAAGTTGTCAATATAATTAGGAATTTGATGACTTGCCACGATTGTGATCCTAGATACACAGAACCTGATTGTAAAGCTAGAGTGGCAGCATTGTACTTGCCCTTGCTTGGAATTGTAATGGATGCTCTACCGCAATTGCATGGCTGCCAGCTTGAAACTAGAGGTGATTTGCAGTCATTTTGAAATACCAAATTCTAGTTCACATGTGGTATTTGGTTTGAATGACATCGCATAGGCAATAAATGACTACACTGAATGCTGTTTCAAAAACATTGACTTCCTAGGATTCGGTGGGCAACATCAGCTCAAAAAAAATACATTTACATTTAAAAATTAGCAAGCACTGCAAAAAATTACATTTCTTTTAAAAAACGCACTGAAAGCCAATGAAACAAAGTACTACAAATGGTGGAACAAATTCTAGGGCAATGATGATCCTTAACTCACATGGGCTACCCAAAGTTTTTCTGAATCGCAATAATATGTGTTGATGGCGCATGCACAGTGTATCCCTTGTGTACAGAAGGGGACAGTACGGCGAAATTTGGCTCTAATGGGCTATGATAGCAGAAGACCGATCTGAGTGCCTTTGCTAACAGCACGCCATCACCTGCAGGGCCTTTCCTGGGCATGTGAGCATATTGATTGGACCCTAGATGACTGGAAAACTGTGGCTTCGCCAGACGAGTCTCGATTTCAGTTGCTAGGTCCTGGTGATAGGGTTAAAGTGTCTCTGACGTAGGGCTAAAGACTTCACAATGCTATGATGCCAAGTTGTCAACAAGGCACTGTGCAAACTGGCGGTGGCTCCATAATGGTGTGGGCTGATTTTACATGGAATTGGCTGGGTCATCTGATCCAACTGAATTGATTATTGGCTGGAAATTTTTATATTCAGCTACTTGAAGACTTTTTGAAGCCAGTCATGGACCTCTTGATTCCAAACAACCATTTTTGGATGACAATGTGTCATGTCACCGGGCCACAGTTGTTCGCTATTGATTTGAAAATTTGGACAATTCGAGCGAATGATTTGGCTATCCAGATCGCCAGACACGAAACCCATCGAACAATTTCGGGACATAATTGAGCGGTCAGTTCGTGTATAAAATCCTGCACCGGCAACACTTTCGCAATTACGGCCGACTGTAGAGGCGGCGTGGGCTCAATTTTTGCTGAGGAGTTCGATGCCACATCGAGTTGCTGCACTTCGCTGAGTAAAAGGAGGTCCGACACAATGTTTGGAGCCATTGCATGATTTTTGCCATCTCAGTGTATTGTGAGCTGTCTTTCTCGTGGAAGAGCAAGTGGCATTTGTGAAAATTCACTTGCGTGAGGAGGGCATCGATGCCTGCTAGCCGGAGAGGTTGCAAAACTCCGTGTGTTGCGGCCGTGTGCAGCAAATGAGGATACACATGGACATGGAACGCGGTGCGAGGAGTGACAGGATTGCCACAATTTCGTGTTTTCCCCGTAGTGTGTTCAATTTGCATTTTAGAATGTTGATATTGTATTATTTGTTTTGAAATATACACAAACACACACAGATCAATATTGATTTTCTTTCATGTTTCTGAAAGGTTTACCAAAAAAATACTTTTGGGAGCTGTTACACATCAATTTTACAGTTACATAAATATAAATTAAACCTACTGAAATTTCAGAGTTAGAAATAGTAAAAGAATTGCAATTTTATGATAATATTATTATAATGCTGTATTAACAATTATAAAAATATAATAAATATTATTATTATTATTATTATTATTATTTTAATTTCTTAATTTGTATTCTCAATCTGATTGTCCATTTAGGTCGTATGCTTCTCCCAGGCATAGACAACTTGGAGACTCAGAATGCCGTAGACCAGCATGCTATAAACATGGCTATTGCGGGTTCTGGCATTTATAGTGTAAAACCACCTGAACAATCAATGCCATTCCAACAGGTATGATAAATCAGTATTTTTCATCTTTTAACATTTCTAATCCCTGTTGAAAATATACACAATATGACATTTAGTCACTCAGTCTTGTATTTACATAATTTTAATATTAATTTCAGAGCTGGAAGTGTGCTTTAAGTAGCGAGACCACACGTAATCTCTTAATTTGTTTCCTCTGGGTTATTAAAAATGTTAATAACAATCTTTTGAAACATTGGTGGATGGAACTTTCATCTCAGAGATTACAGCAGTTGTTGGAAGTTCTTAATATATGCATTTCATGTTTTGAATACAAAGTGAGTAATTTAGTATTAACTAGATATCCTGAAATGTGGTTAGCCTATTTTTTTCATTATTCTGCCAAGCTACCTAGGAGTTTCAATGTTTATCTTATTTTGTAGGGAAAGAAATCTATCAAAAGGTGCTCACAACAGATTTTCCGGAAAACTACAGATATCAAATCGCGATTGGAAGATGTAATTTTAGGTCAAGGATCAGCTCGTAGTGAAATGATGATGAGACGTAAAGGTGAGGTTAAAAGGTTAATTAACTAGGGTTTTCAACCAGAAAAAAAAATTTCATGCTGAGACTTGAACTCAGGTGTTCCAAGTTAATCCGCTATGAGCCGCTACACAAAGCAGCTGCTCTGACGTACCAACTCAGGTAGACACTTAAAAATCTAATTGTCTCAACGTAATATTCCCAACATGGAATTTTTCAAATTCAGAGAGAGCAAAGAAAATGATACCTCCACCATTCGTTTTAGCAGCCATTGTTTTACCTTTCAGGGGGAATTAAAGAAAAAATTTGGAGGGATGTTGGAGATAATGTGTTTTTTTAATTGCAATAATTTTAAGGAGAAATTTTGCAAATATTAATTTTATATTCTTTTAAAAATTTTACATAAATTTACATACATAAACATTTCAAAGAGCAATTTTTTTAGAAAACACATTAAGGCAAAACTATTTTGAATTTTGTAATTTTCAATTTTTTACAGTCTTTTTATGAGGAGAAAATTTAAAGAAAATAATTTTAAACTTTGTTGAAAAAAAGGGTTTTAAGTAATTAAAATTGCCTATATTTCAGGTACATTTTACGCTTCTACTCATATTTTGGAACAATTGTTCATGACCTCATTTCCTGATGTCTTTAAAACACAGATTTAATTAAGAAAAAAATATTGAACTTATTCAATTTTTGAAAAATCATGGATTTCAATGAAAATCAGATCTGCATCATTGTCTTACGTGCTCTTATACTCTCCAGGATAATATTTAATCAAATGTGTTTCAAACGCAGAGGGCCTCAAGTTAATTTAAATTGATCTGGGAATATGAATATTAGAGAAAATAGGCTGAACTGTTTGTGCACTAGCATTGATCACAGGTACAGACAGATGTATGGCCGAATGGACTGACACACCTCTTGCCATCAGTCGATTTTTCGGAATCAAGAACTGACAGAACAAGGATTATGGCTACACAACATGTTTGAGAAAATCATTAGCTATATATAGCAACAAGATTTATCCCCTTTTCATTACCAGGGCTGGGCTATAAGAGTTTTTCTTCTGAAAATTTGTTTTTCGGCTCACGATTACAATACTTTCTCTTCTTAAGTAAGCGGGAGGAAGTAAAAATCAGTTGTATCAAAATGCCGCCCATTAGTGCCCATGGATATTTTGAATGTGTGAAGATGTTTAGATGGGGTTAACATTATCAATGTTTTGTGAATAATAAAAAAAGGTAATGATAAGAATTTATGACTCATTCAAGTGTCAAGCAACGTCAGTTTCCTGATAACAAAGTTCAGTAATCAGCAATAGTAATTAAATAACTTCACTTACAAGACTATTATTAGTAAACTAGGATAGTTTTCTGCAGTAGTAAATTATTTTACAGTAGCAACTGTTACAATATATTACATTAATGTAAAACTAGTGGTGCTAAAACAGCAAGTACTTTCTCCCGTGCTTTCCACGCAAAATTATACGAAAAGTACCAACATTTTCAAAAAATTGTACGTAACCTTGTTTCAAAATCTATCTTCAAGAAACAGATTTCATTAAGTGAAAAAATCTCTTTATCTTCATAATTGTAGGAAGATGCTGAAAAACTTTTGAATTTTGCTGTTTAGAAAAATCGGAAGTTTTAACGAAAATTAAACCTGCACCATTTTTTTAATCATCCTTCACACTATCCAACAACAAAATTTAATCAAAAACGGTCTTCTTTTTAAATTTTGAAAATGTCGCAGGGGCTTTATGTTCAGTACCTCCCAAAATTAAAATATTGGTTTCAAATTCATGGGGCCACGACATCAGCCATATTGGTAGGAGAATATCAATTTTAGAGAATATTGAATGAACAGTTAAGATGAACGGACTGACACTTTGTCGTCAATAAATGTTTCGGTATCAAGGACTCAAACCATGGAGTCTGGCCACACCATGTTTTATAGGTTTTTTATTCTTTTCAATTTTGCTTCCGGATTAGCCACTTTTTTGTTACCAGGGCCCGGCAATAAAGGGTTTTTCTACCGTAACTTTGCCCCTTGTACCTTGCAGCATTATATAGCTTGCTCTCCATTGCATAAGTGGTAGTGGGAAAGTAAAAATATTACATAAACTTAGAAGTTTAGATTACATTGTCATACGTAATAATTAAATCTGCTTTTAAAACAGTTGAAAATTAGGAAAATGGAATTGTAATAGCTTATAATAAACATTACATTAATTAACATACTGAATACAGTAACTAATAATTATAATGCCTTTGACATGATTGTATATAGCAGGAGGGTACCGAGCGAAGTGACTCTGGGCGGAGCGCACTGACTTCACGTACGGGCGGTCAGTATTCAATCCCTGTGTCGACCATCCTGACCTGGGTTTTCGTGGTTTCCCTGAGTCATCCAGATGAATACTGAGATGTTTCTACTGAAAGGCATTATCCACAAAGCCACTGTTGATAGCGGAATTCATTAACTATGTGAAGTCAGAAAGGTTAAGCGAATTCGAGACCGTGTGATCCTGGTTGAGTGACCAACTAGGAACCTTGGGATCTAACCAATGGCACCGAGGCTCTTTATGGGACATGTAATGGCTAAATACAAATTCAAAACATGAGGGCATACATAATACTCTTGCTGTGGTACAAAGTAAATTAATGATTGAAACCCTACAACTATTGCTTGTTCATTACAAAACACATTCAGTTTGTGTGGATATACTGCAACAAGGTGGCACTTAAGGAATGTTTTCTTTAACTTGCTATCTGGTGCTTTTATATTAACCGAGACCTTATTGAAAAGTTGTGTTGCAATGCTGTATGGATCTTCAATAGTAGAGGTCAATAGTTCAGGAAATGAGTGCAGCGTAACCGGATTATATATTCTTATACACATGGTTCATCATACAATGGTGCAGTGGCATGTAGTTTCTATTGTATCAGGGTCACCAAATCATATCGGCTTCACTCTCAGTGCAGTGCATTCACTGCTGAGATGTATATAAATTATTGAAGCCTAAATGTACATTGAATCTGCGTTGTTGTGGCGAGTAGTTTTCTGCTCCGATTCTCTCAGCTCTCTTCAAGTTGTTTCCCATTCTTCTGCAGACTACCTGGTAAAATCAGTTCAAAACCTGATTCACCATCATCTTTCATTACAGTGATCTGGTACTCAGTTGAGTCTCAGACCATGTGAGAATCGCAGGGAATGAGCTGGCTGACCAGGCGGTGAAACTGGCGACACGCAGTATCATATCAACATACCTTCTGTACCATGTTGAGGCTTTTTTGAAACAATCTATCTTGAGAGAATGCAAACATTGGTACAATACCGCTTTTAAACTACGGATTCTGTTAATCCCTGGCGTTACTCATACCACCCTTCTAGACGTATGGAAGTCATTTTCATCCATCTTTATGTTTAACACTGCCATTTTTCTCATGGTTTCCTCTTTTAGGTGAATCTCCTCCAATCTGCAACTCATACAGGACGGTTCTTGCCGTGAAACTCATCCCCCTACAATGTACGAAATTTGTTGGCAGCTGATGAAGAGATATCCTGGGTAACTCTGAGCAGGAGGTGCTCGGCAATGATGATTCTATGCTCTCAAAGATGTTTTTTGAGACAAAACAATACATAATTTTATTTGAGAGATTAGAATAATAGTGTTACATGTATTATTATGTAATTTTACAACACATTTAATTAAACTTTAAAATGATGATTAGCATGCAAATGAACAAATTTACTAAATTACTACAATTAGTCATTTCAGTTATTGCGGCTTACTATTTTAATTGGAGTGAACAGAAACATTTACTTTTGCCGCTCCAAATAATATGCCGTATTGGTGCCATCTAGTCCCTCAGCTTCCTTCGTTGAGCAATCTCTCCGCCTTTCAGCGGGAAAGTTGAGATGGCAGGTATCCGATTAAAGGTCATTCACAAAATTCTTACTGAGCAATGGCGTGTTGAGTTTCTTCCTGAATTGCTGGGCGCCGGCAGGGCCCGCCCCACACGGCCACAGCCACCTATGGCGGAGTTGCGTGAAGACACGCATCGGCCGTCCCTCTCTCGTTCACTCAGGCCGGACATAGGATGACGCACGAGCTCAGGAACCATGATGTTGTGTTAACATGGCGATTCTATTAACGAACAATGCGGGACCGCAGTCAAAGTACCGGTCGGAGCATCTTAGGGCCGGGCCAGTCAGATACCGCGCTAAAAGCTCGCTCCGCGTCAAACAATTTTACTGTTCAGATCGGGGGTGCAGTTGATCAAATCATGGAGGATGTGACATTACAGTATGTTTATTGGCCCCTTTATAGCCTCTCCTACATTTATTATTAATACTTGGCATTCGCTTTATCATTTTGTTCTTTTGTTTTATCTACTTGTATATTTTATGAGGAATTTCACCCTCCCTTTAGGTTATGTACATGCTTTTAATTGGTAGGTAAGTTGCATCGGCAACAGTAATTTTATTACATCTACTTAATTATTTTTTAAATACTTCGACATACAATGACCTCAGTAGGTGAAGCGCCCTTTAAACCCCAATCAATCATCAGTCACATTTTTGATACCAGGGCCCCGAAATACTAATTTTTCTTTCAAAAAATGCTGATTTCTGCCATTACAAGACCATTACAATACTTTCTCTTAACTACATATGTAAGCCAAGAAAGTAATGTGTCAATTTTTATATGAAACATCTTAGTAAGCCAAAGTATGTACAGGTTGTAATTTGAAAATTCTCAGGTTTTATGGTTATAATTTGTTATCTTTTTTGTTGCAGACAGGAACCCTCCCTCCCCAGGCTGGCCAGGGGACAGGTTACGATGGCGCAAAGAGCAAATGGCATATCGTCCTACCTCTGATATGCCAGAGCGTCCTCGGGCTGAGGTGGAGACTGATGCTCACATTGAGGGCAACCTCGCGACTGAAGCCAGTTTTATCATCTTGGATACTCTTGAAAGGATTGTTCAGGTTTGTTGAGTAATTTCTTTCTCAGGTAAAAGACATATTTTGATTCAATAATAATTTTTGTTCTATTTTGCAAGTATCATCGTAGCGTAATTATACATTAAACAAGAACTGATAGAAGTGCATCATACATGAGAAAATATTAAATAAAAATGAGATGAAGGACTAATTAAGAAAATAGTCCAAACTAATAGTTGTAGGAAAATATTTGAATTGGTGAGACATTTGTTAAAAATTCTTATATTATGATTTTTAATTTTACAATTGTTGCGACGATGTTGCAAACACAAGATTAAGTTGTCTGTTGTTCGAACCTTACGGTTTCCACAAGAGTGTCTCTACAACAGGTTTCAGTTTACTATCCTCTATTAATGATAAATGATCTCGAGTCCTGGAATCCCCACCCCCATTTCTTTTGAAACATTAGTTGAATTACGAATAAATGATAGCAGCAAGCCTGGTTGACAAATCTGATAATAAAAACTGTTTGCTCCTGAGTAATAGAAACTATTTTGCATTGAAAAATGAGCCACAAATTTGATTTTATGGTCCTATCATCAAAAACAAAGAAACCCCACACACGCCTTGCATTTAATGGAATGAAGGCTCAAGAAAACTTGTACGGTAAGTCTGTATTTACTCAGGGTAATATCTCCTGGCCAGTTTTCTTTAGTGGCAAATGTCAGGGTGTTCTATTGGGTAGTGTTTTTGATTGTTCTGACATATTTAAATTATATCTTCATTGCACTTCAAATGATTGTCTTTTAACAGGTTGCTTCTCAAGCAGATAACTTGCAAGGGCTCTTAGGTGTTGTACTGAAAGTTTTGCTTCATGCCCTTGCTCGAAACCAGAGCACGTGTGTGTTACAGAACATGTTTGCAACTCAACGTTCAATTGTTTTCAAGGTAAAGTGTTTAAAGATAATTATTAATCTTTTTTATCCAGAGGAAGGTAGTGGATTCAATTCAACGAGCATTCCTTGGATAACTACAGAATATAAAGCTAATAATAGAGTATATATAATACAAGAACGTTTTTAATATCCTCTGAATAATATCAGGTTTATTTTAGTTTTATCCCTGAATTATCACATTATTATTCACTGAATATTATGAAATGTGATCATTGCAACTTACTGTTGCAGAATCAAAGAGCTTGAAGGGTTTGAAATGTACTCTTGTGGAAACAAAATATAATATCTAGAAATAAAGTCAGTTTATATTTTCACAGGAACTTTTAATTTGGATTGAAACAATGGATTCACACTTCAGGGATTTTAGATTTTGAAAAACAGATTATGCTATGTTAATCCATTTCTCATTGAATTACCACCTGCTTCCATCTTTCTGCGAGCATACCATTAAAATATTCTCGTAATAAATGAGTATTTATTAAAAATGTTATTTGCAGTTTCCTAATCTTCTTTTTGATGAAGAAACAGAGCAATGTGCGGACCTCTGCCTCCGTCTCCTGAAGCATTGCAGTTCCAATATGGCAGATGTTCGATCTCAAGCTTCTGGCTCACTCTACCTGCTCATGCGACAGAATTTTGAAATAGGAAATGTACGTGGAAAAAGAACAACTGATTTGGTTGCATTTTGTATATGAGAGTTTGAATTTTCACTTTTGTTGTGTTTCAGAATTTTGCTCGAGTTAAAATGCAAGTTACAATGTCTCTTAGTTCATTAGTAGGAACTAGCCAGTCAGTGAGTGAGGAATCTTTACGCCGATCTTTAAAGACTATTTTAGTTTATGCTGAAGAAGATACAGAATTACAAGACACAACATTCCCAGAACAGGTTCGATACAAATGATTTATTGAGTTGATTTTATATTTTACATTTTCTCTTTTTCTTTCTGCTTTCCTTCCTAATAAATAAAGATGTCTTTATTAATATTCCTTCACTCATGTATACAACATATCACTTCCTCTTATTCAATTATTTATTGACATACTACATTGCTCACATCAAATTGTTATAAGAAAGCTGTGAATCAGGTTGCCAAAGGATCCTTCCTTCTTGAATTTCTTACTCTTGTGTTGTTTTTGTTTTACATTTTCTCCTTGTTCTTCATTGAGGAGATTTGTTGGATAACTTTGTGGTATGCGTTACTATTTTAATGTGAAAAGTTGGGATGTACTCTAACTTTTCAGGTCTCCTCCAGTGAACAATACTTTCATTAGATTCAAAATAATAACCTTGCTTTTCACAAGGATTGTGTGCCCTGTTTGTGTGTGTTATGTGGAGCAGCCTGTTCAGAATGAATTAATGAATTATTCATTTTGAACCTTTACTTTATTTATTTATTACAAGTTGTATTTGTCTCAATATAATTATAAACAAATTATTATTCACATTAGTCATAGCCTGTACATAAACCTGTACAAATTGAATACCTAAATATAGTGAAAGTAGGAACTCTTTTATAGTGTAGATGTAATGAAATAATCTGACTTTATTGTAACTGTACTGAATGATATAGTTTGACGTATAATGTAAACCTGTGTATTAATTTTTATTTCAGCTTATTCTTTAACCCTTTCAGCTCTGGTACATTAGTATTTTCAGTCTTGTAGGGACTAATGCTTTAGTATTTCCAGTACCCTAGAGACTGAAGCAAGAGTTCAAATAGTGCATGGTTTTCGGTCAACAAAGGAGACAGACGAGAATGTATCCTATCTCCAGGCCTGTTATATTTATACATATATGTCTTGAGAAATGCAAAACTTGAAGAAATGAACATTGGCCTAAGAATTGGAGGAAGCTGAATCAATAATTTTTGTGATGCAGATGACACTACTAATGGCAGAAAGACAGAAATAACTAGAACAGCTATTTCAGAAAGTGATAAAAAAATTTCAGAAATCAGGACTCAAACTGAACTTCAAAAAGACCATCATAATGACAAGGCAAGAAGAGATATTACAGATAGAGGGTAAAGAGATAAAACCAACAGATGTAAAATTTCTTGGAGTAATCATAAAAAAAAATGGATATTGCACTGAAGAAATGAAAATAATTATTATTTTGGGAAAGGCAGCTATGAAAAAATGTAATAAATTCATCAAAGACTCAGAGTTATCAATGAAGTTCAAAATCAAGCTAATGCAGTGGTATTCCCTGATGTACTATACGGCTTTGAGTGTTGGGCTCTAAAATCTATAGACAGAAGAAAAATAGATGTTTTTTGAAATGTGGTGGTGTAGAAAATTATGGAAAATCCATTGGACACACAAAAGAACCAACAAATCTATTTTGGATGAAGTGAAGCCTGGGTGCTCATAAGAAATAAGAGCCCTCAAACAAAAACTCATTCTTTGGACACATTACAAGGCGATAGGACTTTTTGGAGGAAATGATGTTAGGAATTATGGATGGAACTAGAAGATGTGGAAGACAGTGAATGTGATGCCATGAAGAAATGCAAATAGTAACCAACTTGACATGGAGTAATGATAGAAGTGATGAACATGAACAGAGTAGGATGGAGGAAGCACAAATGAGGGGACAGCAAATAGGAAACGCCATTTTGAAGAGGCTGGAGTGAACAACTCAAGAAGGATAGCCAAGGTTACATGCGGTTGCTACTTCTTATTTTACTTCTAATTTGTTCAGGTGTATCTTTCTGTACTGCTTAATTGCAAAAATGTATTGTATCTGTAGTAATTCAAACAACTTTCTTGTGGCAAGTTCTCTTAATTACCCGTTTGGAATGCCAATTGGAAGGAGACTTATTCAAACCCCAGTGGCAAAATTGTAAGAAGCATTACAGTCCCATATGGCAGTGACTGTGAGGAGGATACAATTTTCTTGCTCCTTATATAACAGCATTCATACTTAAATGGGTTAATACACTAACTGGAGGTATAATTTACTGTCTTAAGTTTTCTTGTAATCAAAACGTTACTTTAATCTTTGCTTTTGTTTATTTTCTTTTGGCACAAAAACAATCGTGTATTATGTATTTTGAACAGGTGAAAGATTTGGTCTTCAATCTACACATGATTTTATCCGATACAGTAAAAATGAAAGAGTTTCAGGAAGACCCTGAAATGCTTCTTGATTTAATGTATCGAATTGCCAAAGGTTATCAGAATTCTCCTAATTTGAGGTTAACATGGCTTGCTAATATGGCTCAAAAACATATGGAGGTATGTATATATACAGATATTTGTGAGATTATAGAAATACAATAATGACAGCTTGCATGTTTACTTATATTGAAAATTGATTGTGTAATGTCGGTGGCTGTTTATAGCGAAATAATCACACAGAAGCAGCTATGTGTCTGGTGCACAGTGCTGCTTTGGTGGCTGAGTACTTGCATATGCTGGAGGATCAGCCGCATCTCCCCATAGGAGCAGTAGGCCTTGAGACCATTACTCCAAATGTGCTGGAAGAGAGTGCTGTGTCAGATGATGTGCTTAGTCCCGAGGAAGAGGGTGTCTGTTTGGGCAAGGATTTCACAGAGAGTGGGCTTGTGGGTCTCTTAGAACATGCTGCAAGTTCTTTTCTTACGGTATTTATATTCTCTTCAATTCTAGTTGGTTAAGGTTAGATTCATTGTACATTCAAAATTTGACCATATTAAGTAGCAAACTTCTGCCAAACAAACATGTTATACAGATAAAAAATTATTTACGTTTTAAAGTTATTACATACACAAATTCATTTTTTGTGTTTTATATTCTATGTTTTGTCCTAATGGTTATGACCTTCATCAGGACAATGTAGTATAATGTATGAAGATGTAGAGAAAAGAAAGCATCCACATAAACTAGTAATTCCTATTTGAATATAACATTGTGACCCACAAAACACATGGATTAAAGCCGCCAATGTCTTGTGCACTGGACAACTGTCGCATTATGAATTTTGAGGTGTACTGTAAACACCATGAATGCCCAAGACAATGCTGGCATTTTGATTTTTGATTAATGTTAACGTTCATCTGTAGTTTGAAGTTAATAATATAATACTTTAATTATTCAAAATTATCTCGCACAAATGTGAGAATGTTTGTTGTGTGTCAATCCCTTGCACACTTGTCAACTTGTATTACAGTTTTGTGCACTCCACTCCACACCCAAAAGCAAATGTATTTTATGAACATGCCCTCTTGTAAATATATTTTTATCAGTTTTTAGAGTGGAAGTAAGGTTCCATATAAATAGTTCGCACAAAGCACTGGAAGGGAAGAACTATCGAGTATTGTATGGTCAGTGGTGCTCCGAGGGGGGGGGGGGAGAGAGAGAGAGAGATGCTCATGATGCTCAAAGCTTCCCTGACTTCCCTAAAGCCAATGATTTTTTGATACGTATTAAAAATACAGCTTTTACTAATTGTTTGTACTAACAATATAATTCAATATAGTAATTGTTTGCATTGTAAATTTTTTACTATGTCTACAAATAAATACATTTATATTCAGCATAAATGAAAAATTCTTTGTAAGAAAACATCAAGTCGGCTGGATAGCCTGTAGTCCCTCCCCCCCACACACACACACACACACAGAAGAATCCCGAGTGTGCGATTACCTTTGTAGGGAATGTTGTTTAAGAGGATGACAGAGAAGCAAGTAATCTGGTAAAAGTTGCAAATCTTTTCAACTAACACTTTTCTAGAATTGTGGCTGATCTCACGAAGGGACTAAAAACACAAAATTCAACATCATACGCTTCCCCAAAAAATTTTTACTCAATGATTATCTTCAAATTTCTTCCATTGAAATATTCAGAATAGTCTGTAAACTAAAGCATACATATTTGTCTGTTTTGTATGAATTTCCTAATTATTTACCGAGAACTTTTGCACCTGTTTATACGCACATTATCTCACATTTTGAATGTTTCTTTATGCACAGGAATATTTCCAGATATTTTCAAAACAGCAAAAATGATGCCATTTTTTAAAAAAGGGAACAAAAATGAAATTCAAAATTACCAACCAATTTCTCTTTTGCCAGTTTTTTAAAAATATTAGGAAGGTTTTTCTATATGTAAATGGAAACATTTCATCACAGAGTTTTCAGACTCACAACATGGTTTTAGAAAATCAAAATCTATGGAAAATTCCATTTTTTCTTTTCTTAAAGATGTTGCTTCGTCAATGGACCAAATGAAGCACCTAGTGGAATATTTTTAGATCTTTCGATCTAAGAGCTATTGATATCATTCACCACAACATCTTGTTCTCAAAGTTACCTTCATATGGAATTCGTGCCCTAGAATGAAAAACATTGCACCTTAAACATCGATCTCAAAGAGTATAGATACTGTTGTAGCCTGAAAGAAAATTATTTACTTACCTTTTCAATTCTTTTTCAATGGAGCATGGGGTCCCATCGTCTTTCTGTTATACGTAAACAATATGCCCTCAGCCATTAAAAAAGGAAGAACAGTTCTGTTTGCTGTTGACATGAATGTTCTTTGCAAATAAGAAACTATAAATATTATGATTTCAGAACTTTCAAATTGGTTTAGTAATAACAAATTAATAGCTATTGAATAAAAATGGTTTCAGTGCATTTTTACATTTGAAATTGTTAATCGTCTGCTCCATTGAAAATGCAATTAGTTGATGTTAAGGTAACAAAATTTCTGGGCCTCTCAATGTAGTCAAACTTCAAATGGAATGTGCACATAACATAATTAAACACTAAATTAAGTTCCTTATGTTACACATTCAGAATTCTTTCAAATTCTGCCTGATTTCATGCAGCTCTTAGCTTGTATTTTGCAAATGTACATTCTTGCCTGAGATATGGCATACTATTTTCATGGGAAGCTCATTCTATAGTACCTAGGCCTTTAGACTGCAGAAAAAAGTTATTTGAATTATAAAACAATACCATCCATGTGATTCCTGCAATCCTCTCTTCATTGAGCTCTGGATCTTACTATTGCCTTGCCAATTTATTTACAAATTTGTAATTTTTGTCAAAACTAACTTACTCAATACACTTTCTGACTTACAAAAATCACTTAGTAAATGGCTATGTTTGTAGTTTGAAGGTGCAGGCCGATTCAATAATGTCCTTTCTATAAACATCACTGCATATGGTGCATGGAAAAATTGCATTTTGATGGTTTTACCCAGTCTCATCAGAAAGATTATCGACATAACATAAAATAAATTTGAAAAGCTGACTTTTCCTCTGAAATTGTATTACTCGTTGATGTGGAAATACACTGTTGAAAGTATAGTGGACTACAAGTTCTGTTTTGTGTGAAACTATTCCTGATAAAACAAGTATTCTGTACCTAATGAACAAGACAGTCATGGTTGAATCACTACTTATTTTATCATGGAAATTTATTTATTTCAACAGTCAATCTCCCTAGGAAATACATAAAATTTTACATAACCAATATATTCTACATGTTTGTTTACACTCAATATCATGTTGACAACACTCTGGAGTAATCATTTAGCAAGGCATTTTTAATTTGATTTATACATTTCCCACTTGAGTAGAATTCGATGTTTAGATTATTAGCTAGGTTAGACATCCTCCATAAAGGCGCATGACAAAATTGAATGTTTGTGCAACTGGTATGAAAAAAGTGTCTCATTCCGTATTTTGTACTCATTCTCATAACTTTCAGAAGTAGTTTTGAGTGAAGATGAGAGTCAATCTCTCTGTAGAGGCAATCTTATTATTAATTAAATTTTATAAAAAATTTTAATTGAAATCTCTGTGTGATTTCAATGAACTAATATCGAGTAAACTTGCAATTTGATTATAATCGTGACTTATTCTAGGTGAAGGTAAACACAGTTTCCATGCCACAAAATTAAAAAATTTATGTTGTAATCTTTCTAATTTTTTTGAATTATTTGTGACCACCCAGGGGATGAATACAATAAAATCGGTCTCACCAAAGATGGATATAGTGTTCTATAAGAGTTTGGGTTCATAAAATTTGTAGTCATTCTTTTAATGAATCTAAGCATAAGAGTTGCTTTTGTTACAATTGGATCAATATGATCTGTAAATTTTAATTTGAAGTCAAAGAATACTCCCAAATCATTATTATCAATCCCATTTCATTAATGAAACCTTTAGTAATATGTGGCCGTTTATGGAATATTGGAAATGTATCTTATTTCTCAGCCTAGAAAAAGTCATGGTTTTACATTTCAATATATTTAGATGAAGTTTATTGTTGTACACCATGAAGCTAATTAGTTTAAGTTCAGTTTTAAAGTAATACAGTCTTGCAATGATTTTATTGTAGAATATAGTTTCAGATCATCAGTGTACATTAAAAATAAGGATAACGAATGTTTCAATTTTATGTCATTGATAAACAATATAAACAGTAGTCGATCCAAATGTGAACTTTGTGGAAAACCTGGTTTAACAATTATGTCTTTTGATATAAAGAATTTATATTTCACATTCTGAAGTTGATCAACTATTTCAATGCAATCAATTTTTCAACTGTATCAATAACGGTCCATGAATTCCAGAGGATTGTATTTTTTGTAATAATATTTTATGGTTTACATTATCGAATGCTTTGATGAAATCTGTAGAGATTACATCTACTTGTACATTAGACTAATTTCTCCAAAGCATAGTGATGAAAATGTAGTAAATTTGTGGTTGTTGATCATTTTTGTCTAAACCTGTTTTGCTCATCAATAAGTATATTACTAAAAGAGGTCATTATTTATTAGTAACAATTCTAATAGCTTGGGTATGGTACTCAACTTAGAAATTGGTCTATAATATACTATATTAGATCTTTCATTTGATTTGTGAATGGGAGTAATGAAACCTCTTTTCCTAATAGATGGAAATGAACGGTTATTAAGATATTTATTAAACAAGTAGTGTAATATTGGAGTAATGTTAGTTTTAAAGTTTTTAAAAAATAATAGTGGTATACCATTTTCATCTAGGGAATCTCGAAATGACATTACATTCACTGTAGGCCACTGATTCCTCTGACAGAGGTAGTAAACTTCCCAAACTATTTAATATCATAGCCTAGTGAAGATTTGATTTTCAGGATATAAGATTCATAATCATCAGCAGCTCTTAACTTTACATTTTTTACGAATTTCTGAGAAAATCAAATAATCTGCATCATCACCTGATATCTTATAATTTGAATGAGCTTTAGATTTATCTCCCAATAATTTAATTTTTTAGTTCTTTTGAGTACCATGATGGAAATGTGACACACCATTGCTATTTTATAACAATTCCATTATTATTCAACACACATCATAGAAATCACATTCATCAAGTTTCAATAACAACAGCTCTTTGCTAACTGGTGGTTCTGAAACCCGTATTTATACACAAAATTAAGTGGAAAATACTAAAATTTTTGTAAAATTGAACAAGACCTTATTTCAAAATCCATCTTTAACAAACAGATTTCATTAAGGGAAAAAAATCTCTATCTTTAATGTTTTACATGTAGGAAGATTTGGAAAAAATTGTGAACTTTTGCAATTTTAAAAAATCAGGGTTTTTAATGAATACGAGAGCTGCTCCAATCTCATAAATGTCCCTCACTCTATCCAAAAACAAAATTTAATCAGAAACAATGGAGCCATTTTTTTCAAAATTTCGAAAATATCTCAGGAGCTTCATGTAAAGTACCCCTCAAATATCGGTTTCAAATTCAAAAGGCCGTAACATCAGCCTGATCGATTGGGTAATATCAATTTTGTAGAAAATCGGCTGAAGGGTTTAACCGCTAACATTGTTCAGAAGTAGACGGGTGGACAGTCATACGTTTTGCCGTCATTTGATTTTTTGCTATCAAGGACCCACAAAACATGGATTCTGGCTACACCACGAGTTAGGTGTTTTTTTTCCTAAATTTAGCAACTGGATTTATCCACCTTTTCATTACCAGGGCCCAGTAATATGAATTTTTCTGCCGAAAATTTGCTGGTTTTTGCGTGCATCAGTACATAATTTTCTCTGTACTCCATAGGGAGAAAATCAAAAGCCACGTATAATAAATGTATGTTTCTTTGCAACATTTGCCAGATTATATTTTAAAATTAAAATCAGTACACAAATCTAAGGTAAAATTAAAATATTTTCTGCTGTGTATCTGTTTGTGTACAAATAGAGACTATACTGATTATAAAAATTAAAGAAAGTTTTAACAATGTCATATAATGCATTATTTTTCACTTGTGTTGTATAATTTAAAAATAATACTATATGGCTGTAGCAAGTAATGTACTTCAGTTTCTGGGGTCAGTGACCCCCATCTTGATCAGGTTTTTGTTATTTCCCTGATCCATTGAGCAAGTGGCCCTTTGTTTTGTTTCAAGATGTAAATGTAGCTTCACTATACACACGTTTTGTTGAGGTCTCCTTTTCCTAGCAGTAGCAGTAGAGCCTGGGGTGTGTTACTATTTTCTTAGCAATTGAAAAAAAATCAAATCTGCAGATTGTTTGTCAATAATAATAATGTTTCTATAATTTTCTCTTTTTTAATTTTATTATTATTATTATTATTATTATTATTATTATTTTAATTTTTATTCATCTTTCAACTGTTTATAGTTAAAATGTTGGGAAGAGATTCTGGAGCTCAGGAAATCACATGCAAATGGTACTTCTCCCCCATACATCACATACAGTTTTTACTGTCCTTCGACTAAATAAATCAAATAAATCAAATGTCATAACATGGTCGAAATATCCCACTGGAGCTGATATCATTTTTAATCTATTTCTTGTCATATTATAATATGTTTGAAACTCAATTTATAATTACTTCTTTTTGTAGGCTGGGATGTATGAGGCTGTGAATGATGTTTACAAAATTCTTATACCAATTGCAGAAGCAAATAGAGATTACAAAAAACTTTCCAATATACATAGGTAAGTTATATTTTACTGCTGTAATAATTTTCATGAAGATGCACTAATTGCTTCCCCTAATTGCCCTTCATTGTGCTTCTATATCTTTTGAGTTTTTCTTTTCAAGTGTTGAGTTTTTCAAAACTTTTCTACGTTAATTTTATAATAGTCTTGGGTAGTAGATTTTTTTTTTTTCTTTTTTCTTTTTTCTTTTTTTTTTTTTTTTTTTTTTTTTTTTTTTTTTTTTTTTTTTTTTTTCTTTTTCCTTTTTTTTCTTTCATTTTCTTATATTCATTTAAAGTTATGCTGTTTAATTTTGAGCAAAAGCAATTTGCTACAGTTGGTAAATGTTAATTGTGTTATTAGCCACAATTATTTCTTTACCACACTTTTTTGCAGATGGACTAAGCGCATCAACGCTGAATTTTACAAATGCTTATTAGATTATCAAAAGCAATTCTTGGTTGATGTGTTTTGAACATCATCACTGGTGCTAAAACCTAATTTTATTAGTTTGGTTCAGAGAAATTAGCCTTAAGTGTATTTGTTTTATTTTCTCTTGCACATAGTATAGAGGAAGTATTATAATGCTGCAAAAAATATTGATATCAAGATTTTGATGAAGATATACTTTTTGAAAATATATACACCAAAATATTTTTTTAACAAAAAAGACGTGTAATGCTGTTAATGCTATAAATTGTCATAGTCCTGAGTTAAAGAGACTTATACTGTTAGACTTTGTAGTCGTTCATTTTGATTCTAACATGAAATGCATGCTAGTAATTTATTTTTACTTTTTATGTACTGGGAAACATTTTTGAAACTAAACTCATTTTAATGATATATTACGCATTTTTTTGGCTCTTAGCTACATGTGATATAATTGCATGATGAGTTTATGAAAATTCGGTTAAACCATCTTGCACTATTCAAAAGAAAACACAGACAGACATCCCCACTATGCAGGTTATTCTGACAAACAATTGCCACTATTTTCTGCAACATTACAATCCTTTCTCCTTACTACATAAATACATAGTGTGGTGAGAAATTAAAAATAGAAGTTTACAGATTATGATGTAAGAAATGGCTTACTGGATCTCACATTAAAACCATGCATAACTTGGTAATGGTGTGCCTAGGCTCTTAAAACCAGATTTTCATGTCCCTATAGTGGAACACGAGTTTTCAGGGCAGAAGAGGTTTGGGGGATGTGTGAATCCCCAAGTTTTGTTTCTTAGGCAGGATTCTACAAAATGAGACTTTTTTAAAATCTTGTTTTATTTTTTTTTTTTGAGATTGAGGTATTTTGGACATCCCTTGTATTAACATGAGTGGTCAGATATGAGCAGTTACTCAAAATCATTGTAAAATTAAAGGTTTATAGGCAAAAATAATATTCCACTATAATATTAAAGTGTTTATTTGATTTTATATGAAACTTGAGCCTAATCACAACATTTAGCTGTAACAAAGTTTACTCCTATTCTTCAATGCAAAATTCATGGCCTGGCTGTTTAAAGTTAGAATCCAGTATGAAGCTATTTTCACTTTTAAACCATAGAAAGAATGGACCCATCTAGTTTAATTTACTTGATAAGGACTTGAAAAATATCAATATGAATAGCCTGAAGCAGAGAAAACTTATTATTTTTAAATAATGTGGATGACAATGTTGTGTCAAGTTTTACATTGCTTTTCTTGTGGGATTCAATGAAAAATTTGTTGAATACCATATTTATAAATGCACTTCTCTTCTTGAGCAAAAATTGATGGAAAGAGCCATTTTTGAGAAAATTCTTTGGCTTCACATGTTTTGCTCTAGATTACATGAACAAGAAACTTATAATTTACAAAATAGTTTTAGTAATTTTTGTTTTTTAATCATTAGTGTAATACATTGTTAATGTAATTGACAGTCTCATCAACTTCAAATTGTATTTTCAGTAAACTTCATGATGCATTTACGAGAGTTGATCAACTACAAGGGAAACGAGTATTTGGAACCTATTTTCGAGTGGGTTTTTATGGTGCAAAGTTTGGTGATTTGAATGGAGAAGAGTTCATTTATAAAGAACCAACATTAACTAAGTTACCGGAAATATTCAGCCGTCTGGAGGTTTGTTTTGATCTACAAATGCTTCAATTTTGTATACTTACCCATTTGGTGTCATGTTTCTTAATTAGTATTATTTACTAGGTTAATGATTTAATAATAAATTTTTTCAAAGAATTGGTTGCGCGGACCGGGATTCAAACCCAGGCCTTGTGGTTTACACCCAGCTGCTCTAACCACTCAGCTACCAAGACAACCAATTCTTTGAACAGTTTTCATGAGCGCGATTATTGCTCCTTGGGTTGTATATATATAAGGTCACCTATATACACAACACAAGGAGCAAAGAATTGGTTGTCTTAATAGCTTAGTGGTTAGAGCAACTGGGCTTAACCAGAAGGCCCAGATTCGAATCCCGGTCAGGGCAACCAATTCTCTTAAGAAATTTAATTATTAAAATGCATTGTTAGTCTGTAACATGGTCACAATTTTGATTTCTGTATGGTTGCGGAACATATTCTTCGAGCGTAAGTGCATCCATCAAGGGGACGGGAAGGTGACAATTATGTTATTGATTTAGTTATTTATTATTTTTATTAGATTAGTCCATCCTAAATAGTACATTGTGTGTTACAGATTTTTTATGCTGAAAGATTTGGATCAGAAAACATAGTAATTATCAAAGATTCTAAATCTGTTGATCCAGCCAATCTTGATCCAGAGAAGGCATACATTCAAATTACATATGTTGAACCATTTTTTGAAGCATATGAAGCTCGCCATAGGTTAACATACTTCGACAGAAATTTTAATATAAGTAAGTGGTAAAGTATTTAATTCAAGCACTCACACTTGCCTACATGCTATCACTCACACAGACACACACCTCACACATGCACATGACATTTACTTACGTATGTGTATAGTCTATATACCAATTTAGTGCCTCTCCGAATTGAATTGCTCATTTAAGAATTTAATAACTGAAAATATGTTTTACACAAGAGTATATTTGTTTTTGTCATAGAGATTTTATTCCAAACAATAATTTCTTGTAACATAAGAGAATATTGAATATCTTTTATAGATCTTACTCTGGATAAGATGTGATTCTTTCAATGATAAGAACCTTGGTGTTTGGTGAACCAAATAATTCTTATGTAATTCAATGTTGAATGCTATTTCAGAGCGTTTTGTGTATGCCACACCCTTTACACCTCGTGGAAGGGCTCATGGAGAGTTACATGAGCAGTATAAGCGGAAGACAATACTGACTACTGCTAACCATTTTCCATATATCAAAACACGAATACAAGTTGTTGATAGAAAGCAGGTTGGTGTCAACAGTGACAATTTTAATAATACATTTTTAACATGCAGTGCATGAAACACAGTTTCTCATGATTGTTTTCCATGTGTGGAACAGTGAATGTTTCCATTCTCCCTAATAGTGTGCGGAACATTTTGAGGCATCCATGATGGATCACAAAGCATGTGTGAAACATTTTTTGCATATGATGAGTTAAGTCGACATGTGCACAAGGTGATTCATGCACTCTTCTTTTGACAACCTCAACTTTTGTACAATTCACCTGTACTTGTTTTGTAACTTACTATTCTGGAAGGAGATGCTTCCTAAAAGTAACAATATTTTCAGATTGTTTTGACTCCAATTGAAGTTGCCATCGAAGACATTCAAAAGAAGACGATGGAGTTAGCACAGGCAACTCATCAAGAGCCTCCTGATCCAAAGATCTTGCAAATGGTTTTGCAGGGATGCATAGGTAAGTATTGCTGGCCTATATTCACAAATTCTTCTTTTTCTCTTTTTTAGAAATTGATAATGCTGCTTTTCTGTAATTTCAGGAACCACTGTGAATCAGGGACCAATGGAAATAGCACATGTTTTTCTCTCAGATTTATCAAATGGACAAAAGATTCCAACGAAATTGCAAAACAAACTGAGACTATGTTTTAAGGATTTCTCCAAAAAGTATGTTTATTAAACTTTGCTTATATTCACTTTACTGGTAAAAATAATATTTTTGTCTACTGACTTTTTTTGTGTGTAGATGTTCTGATGCTCTTAAAAAGAATAAAAATTTGATTGGATCTGACCAGAGAGATTATCAACGTGAACTGGAGAGGAATTACCAACGCTTTACAGAACGATTAATGCCTCTTATTACAATTAGAAATGAGAGGCAGCCTTATGCTAAGAAGTGAGAAGACTGAGTTTTCACTTAGATACACTGATATTTTTTAAATATATTCAGAGACAAATGCATTTTTGTAATAAAAACTATTCAAGTGTATAAACATTTTTTTTCATTGCCCTTCTGTGACAAAATGATACATCAAATGGATTCCACAGAATGATTTGCAGTGCCATCTTTCAGTGCTCTTTAGATTCTTTTTCTTTTTTGTCTCTTTTTGTCGTCTTTAATATTCATTGTGCAAAATTAAGCCTTATTTTGTATAAAATGTTTCGATATTAGTCTTACTCGCTTGTCTCTGTATATTTCATTGTCATTACTTTGATACATTGAAGAATTACAGCTTTCAAAAAAATTCTCTAATGCAGTAGAATGAATTTGAAGTTGCAGGTGCTGAGAATTCTTTTGGAATACATTTGGCACTATAATGTTTTGTCAGTGGATGTTAAAATTCAAGAAATTCACAGACGCTAGTGGTAGTCTGTATTGCTGTAAACCCTCAGAGGGAACATTAAGTAATATATTTTGTGGGTGGGGGTAAAATATTGTTAAAGGTACAATGGGAAACGCTTAATCTCTTGCCAACTTGGTTTTTATCAAATTCATATTTTGATGACTTTAATGTCTGTTTTAGTAATAAGATAATGGATACTTTATTTATCTTATTTACCAAGTCACCAATCCTTATGAGATTTAAAACATTGAAAAACTGAATTTCTTACATTAAAAACGAGTGATATTTATTCATGATTTAGTGATGTATGTCACATAATACTAAAAATCTTTTTGAAAATCATGCTTTGTTTAGAAATACAATTTAGTTGCCAGGTCATGTCTTTTTTTTTCCAGTATTGTAATTCATCAAAATAGTTATTTGTGTAAACATACCTTGTGGAAATCAAAATTTCTGCCCACGTTTAAAGTGCAATCATGATTTCTTTACATAATTATAGTACAAACATTATTGAAGGTGATATTAATATGACATTGATGCAATTTTATACTTTTTGGGTAACATCGGATCCAAGCCCGGACATTTTCAAAGCCCTGTCTGCTTGCAAAATTTAGAAATCATAAAATTGAATATTTCTTCATTCATTACAGCAATCTACAAAGCTGGCAACTTTTGTTATTGTTGTTATAATGTCATGTGGTTTTTGTTTTCTATGTCAAATGCTCCTTTATGATATTTCAAGACTTAAGAAATTATATACATACTACAGACATGAAGATAAATTCCAGTGAATAAAAATTTATGTTAAAAATTAAAATTAACATAAAAAGTAGTAATAATATTTTTTGAACATTGGGAGTTGGTTTTGAAGAGAGAAGCAAAACAAATGGTTTCTATTAAGATAGTTGAATTTCGTACTATATTTGTTGGTTTATGTTTCATTTTGATTTTCTACTGTTTCTCCTCTTATTTTGTAATATTAGAGTACTAGCCTGGGTTATATTTTTGTTCGAACTTATTCTTCTGTACGATTTCCTAAATTTGAACTGAACAGTATCATGCTTTTGTGTAGATGTCCTTGTCAAAATGTGAGAATTTTTTTAGCTTGGCTACTTGTATCTGTTATTTCAACATTTTCTCCTATTCAATTTCAGCCCTGTTTGAAAAACGTGCTGAGCTTTAAATTTTTTTAACTTAATTTTTAGGTGATTCTCTAAAGCTATATCCTGAATAGAAGTTGTTTTAACTTTTTTTTTAGCATTGATAAAAAATAGTCCAAGAAATGAAAATGAATTCATTTCTAAATATTCAATAATCACTTTAAATAAAAAATGTGATGACTGCATTAATACTTGCATGTTTCAAAAATATTTACTTTCTTTCAAATAAATTTTAAATTTTCCCATGTTGTACAGTAATGAATGGATCCTCAAATTTCAAGTTTTCAAATGTAATTTTTATTTCAGGTTATGTGAGTGGGCAGAAAAGTAAACTGCATTAGTTTAAATTTGTTATATTGATCTAATGTTTTAATTGACCAGTAAAAGGGATTTAGCAATGTCCAAAGTTGTTGCATTGACTACAAAATAGTCTACTCACTTTTTTGTTGCAGTTCGTTCCTCTATATTTTGAAATGAATGCTAGTAATATATGTATTTAATTATATTGTAATTCCCAATTTCTTAGAAGCTCTCCTCCAGTACTTTCTTAACATATCATTTTAACGTTTAAAAGCAACAGAAATTTAAGAAATGTGCAATATATGAAATACCCATATCTCACATCTTATTAAATTAGAAATGTCTATTCTTCTGATCAATGAATTTTGCCTTTTTTGACATCTCAAAACATTTATTTTCAGAAACAAGCGATTTTTTGAATGTTTTGATATTCATTACACTGGTTGTATCTAATACAAGAGAATCTCCTTCCTGATATAAGCATCTTATTTTTGCTGTTTTTGTCAAAAACCAAAGATTTCTTTCTGTGATTGTTTCCCCATAAAGGGCTCTTCTAGTGAATGATGTATGTGGTACAAATGACCAACATATTAAATTTACATTAAAGCAAATGTGATTTTCTTGAATTATTGAAGATAACTTATATTTGTTAATTAAACAGTATATATTTTGTATGCATATACTGAAGTTAGAATTGACAAATCTTTGGTTACTGTTTTTCTCCATTTATTCTTGATGGCCTGTGTATTTTCTGATACTCAGTGCACTTAGTCTGCCAAGTCTTGAATTGATGGTGAAAAGTTCAATTGTTTCATCAAAGTGTTTAGTTATTTGTGTCTTGTTTATAAAATTACAAGGAATTTTTGTATGGTAGTTTGAGTGTTGGGATATCTTATTCCATAAAGAGTATAAATATTAATATGGTTAAAAAACACTTCATGTAAGTATATCCCACCCTTGTTAAACTACTTTTCTGTGTTTTATAATATTGACTGTAATTATTAATTAGTAAGTATATTCCGTATATAATAGATGGCCTGGAATTTAAAACGAAACAGAAATTAAAAAATTGGTTGACATTTATTTGTATGTCATAAATAAAACGCAATGTTTCGAAAGTACTTGTTCTTTCATAATCAGGCTCTATAACAAAGAAAAGACATAATAGTGACTAATAGAACAACAAAAAAATAAGAGTACAATTGACAAAATGGATGCATACATAGGTAAAGAGAAAAAGTTACAGTGAGTGTCATTGACATATAAGAAAATCAACCAGAATACTGAGGATAATGAAGTTAATCATGAATGTTATAATCATTAGTTCCAAAATAAGACAATGAAATAGCCAGTGTATGTTGGCAACATGGAATTGTGGTAATAACATGAAATTAAGACATTCTCAGTCATTTAATAAATTACGATAGCAGATGAAGAACAATTAAAACTTTAAAATTACATAGTTTACTTCAAAAAGCTTTAAAATATTTTGTCAATTTTACTCTTTTTCTTTGTGGTTCCCTCCTCCCCTCATGTTCCATTAGTCACTATTTTGTCTTTCCTTTGTTAGAAAGCCTGATGATGAAAGAACGAGTATTTTCAAAACATTTCAAAGCATTTTATTTATGACAAATGTTAAACAACTTTTAAATTTTTGTTTTGTTTTAATTTCCCAGCTGTCTATAATATTCAGAACAAACTTACTAATTAGTACTCTTAAATTCACAAAATTTGAAGTATTTTTAGGCTTTGAATAAATAATTTGTTTGGAAAAAATTGCCATTGCCTTAGTTCTCATGTATTTTATTAGTAAAAATTAAGTAGTCTTTTAAGTAAGAAATGCAAATTGATCTTAACATTTTACAAGAAAGGTAATCTTGTTAGTTGTTCATCATTTCACATTCATTTTATCTTCTGAATTGTAAGTGTTCTAAATTACGACTCTTCTTAGATTTTCTACAATCCATAATTCAGAATTGGTTTAAAAATGCTAAACTTAACAATTCAACACATCAATTTGAGACACTTTTTAAGTGGTGCTTTGTGTGCTGTTCCATTTACTAGAAGACTGGTAATATTATTAGTAGTAACTAATGGTGAAGCCTTTAATGGAATTACATTACATTACATACATTAATTTGTTGTAAGTTTGAACAACCCTTTGCTTCCTTGGTGGAAACCATTTACAAATACTTGAATTCTGAAGTAGTACATGAAGGGTTTTAACAATGAATTACCTTTGTTATGTTTTAGAATAAAGATATCAATTCTAATATTTTCACTTTTCTAGAGATAAAAGGAATATGAAATGATTGTAACATGCTGTGATGTTTCTTAACATTTTGTTTCACATTGTATTCACTGAAGTATTGTTGCATATACATACTTCTGTTGAACAGTACTTTGTAATCTAATTTAGCTAACAATATGTCATTACTTTGGTTTTGTATTGTTTATACATATAGTCAAATAATGTGAAATTGGTGTTGTTATGTATACATTCTGTATAACCTTAATTTGTGTAAATGTGCTGCTTTTGCAGTCTTATGAGCATAGTAGAGGCACAATTTTGTGTCATATCATTCCCAACTCGCTGTACTTTATGACAAAAAGTCAGTGTGATCATGACAGCATTATGTAATGTAGATGTCTTCTTTTGCTTTTATTTATTGAAAACCATTACATTTATTTCATTAATGAATTCTCTATGGTACTTTTTCTGTGCTTCTGAAAAAAAATAGGGTTACGCTCATGCAAGGAAACCAAACATGAGCCTTATCTTGTTTGATCTGTTAAGTGTGTACTGTGAGAACTTAGCACATATACCATTTCATGTTTTGATAAGAAGACTTTAATGAAAAATGTGAAATTCTGTATTTTGTCTACTTGTATATTTCCTAGTGATTTTAATTTCATCAAGGGCTCATTGCTGTTAGAAAATATCTGGGCATGTAACTACTATAAAATCATCTCGCACCATAGCTACAATACATGTGCCTCATTTTCAAATTTCTGACATAACTTCCTATAAGAAGAAATAAGAAACACTCTGCAGTAATATTATTTGCAGTCTCAAGATAGGAATTACAGTTTACATAAGCTTTGTATTTTATGTTATTTTGTGAAGTGAGTTTCTCTCAAAAATGTAAAATTTTTCCAGATTATTTATATTTAAATTAAATACATTTATTTGTAGTTCTTTTGAAATTGTACCTAGTGATTTAATTTTGTTGTGGCTATTTGACCAATATTCTACTGCCTTGTCTCAATTAGAAATTTGCAGAAAAAATACAAATGTGGCTTTGCAAAGTCATTTTCCTTAGATATCAGTATTTTTAATTTACATTGAGTGTCTGTGAAATTATTATGTTTCTTGTAATATAGCAGATGTATAACATTTATCAGATAACACATTTGCAATAATTGTATCTAACAAAATAGATGCAAAAGAACGTGTTACTGTGTTTGACTATTAAGGTTGAGAGATGTTGCTGTGCCAAGAAAGAGGAGCTGCTCTTTCAATGAAATAGTGTTAAATGATTTCTGATATTTGACAACCACTTTGTAAAGCATTTGTATTTATACATAAATATGTCAAAAATGAGAAGTGTCTTATTTCATAGACAAAAATGGTCTTTTCTACTAGTCATTAGAACTTACTTATTACCTTGATGTTCTATGTTAACTGTTAGTGTATAAATATAAGATGAAAAAGGAAATATTTTTCTGGTCTGAATTTTTATGAAAGATTGTCTTTTAAAATATTTGAACTTCATTCTGTTACTTTTATTATTTGTACTGTTGAACTCTGGAGAATAAACAAGAATTTGATGCATCAAGCATTGCAAATAAATAATAGAATATAAAATTGTCATGTGATGGCAAGCATTGTTCTTTGCTTTAAAAATTCATGATTAATATGACAATGTGAAACAAATTTAACAGTACCCTAAATTGTTTCTCTTTTTTGATGAAAAATACTTTTTTCTGTTTTTCCAACCTTTTTTGTTTCTTGCTCTTCTCTTAGAACATTCTGTAAAGATATAGAACGGATTTTTAATGTTATTTTAATTTATCCTTTCATCTGTTTGTAATGAAGGTGATGATGTGACATTTTGAGGGTGAATGATTCTGATATACACATTGTATATGATGAAAGATAAATTGTGAATTTGAATAAGTGAAATTGAATAAATCATCACTTATTCAATTTGCAAAATGATATTTAAATTTTGCATGCTTTCAATTGTATGTTTATGTGCATGGATTTGAATATTTTAACAGAATTGTTCCAAATCATCAGTCTTCTATTTAATGAAATCAATAAAAACATATTAGCAGAATTTTTAAATTACATTCTTTACATTTTTCATAATTTTGATTCCTTGATGCACTCCAGTATACTCTCTAGTTACATTTAATACAAGCTTCCATTACCACACTGCCCAGATTCTAACACTTGAAACAGAATCAAAAATTAAAAAACAAACAACTTACCAAGAAACCTATAGCTATTCCCAAGAAAAGTGTGAAATTCCATAACTTGCCCAGATGAAAATCTTGGAGGAATTGTACCAAAAGTGAAGTGGATTTGCTACTAAAAACAATTATTTTACTGTATAATAGTTTTATATGTAACAAGTATTGTAATTCACATTTAAGGCCCCATCCGAGAACTCTCCTTCCCTTCTCCGAACATTTCTTTTGCAAATCCTTTGTGTATCTGTAAATGCTACCTACTTTCTTCCCTGCACATCCTGTAAACCTGTTACCTGTGGGTGACCAGACTCTCCCCGACTGTCCAAGCGTCTGGCACTATAAATATGATATGATATAAAAACGATGGCACGATAAAAATGATATATTCAATGAACACTTTTCACAAATTACTAAGAAGTTAATCTCTCAACACTCTCTAAACAATAAAAACACTAATATTACTCAAATTGTAAATTCCATATTCTTATATGAAACCACCCCCTCTGAAATTTTTAAACTCATTGGACAAATGGAGAATAAATTCTTAGCAGGCATGGACAACATTCCAGATTTTCTTATTAAACACAGTGTTCCATGTATAGTGCAACCACTCTCTCACATCTGCAATTACTCTCTAAAATCAGGCATATTCCCAGATATATTCAAAACAGCAAAAATTAAACCATTTTTTAAAAAGGGCAATAGTTATGATCCAATGAACTACAGATCTATCTGCCTCTTATCAGGATTTTCAAAAATTCTGGAAAGGCTTTTCAATGATTGACATAAACAGTTCCTCAATGCAAATAATGTCCTTACAAATGCACAACATGGCTTCAGAAGTAAGAGATCCACAGATACAGCCATCTTCTCCTTTTTAAATGACATACTTGTTGCAGTAAATCAGAAGGAAATTCCCATTGGCATTTTCTTAGATTTCTCAAAAGCCTTTGACATTATTGACCATCATGTACTTTTAAGATAACTAAAAATGCTAGGGATTCGAGGCATTGCAGGCCAATGGATCAAATCATATTCATCAAACAATAGCCCAATAGTTGTCCTCCAGCACACTAAAGAAAACAAAATCTCCTCATACTACTTCTGCCCTCAAATAATAAATTGTGGAGTCCCACAAGGATCCATCCTTGGGGCAATACTATTCCTTGCATACATAAATGACATGCCTTTGGCTTTAAGGAACAACAAAATAATTTTATTTGCAGATGACACAAACATAATCATGAAAGCAAAAAAACAACAATCATAAGAAAAAGAAACTCACAAAACTTTGCAAGCACTAGTAAAATGGTTTCAAGACAACAAACTCATCATAAACACCAGCAAGACAGTCTCTCTAAATTTCATGAATCCCCGATCTAAAGAAAAATTGTCACAGCATTTGCTCATAAACAATAACCATGTAATGATATCTCATGAAACTACCTTCCTCGGACTAACAATTCAAGAAAACCTAAAATGGAATGCTCACATCTCAAATCTTAACAACAAGCTCAACAAATTTTGCTATGCCCTATACACCCTCACGTCAAGTTCCAACATTGAGACACTTCGAGCAATATATTTTGCAAATGTGCACTCACACCTAAAATATGGAATAATATTCTGAGGAAATGCCTCTAAAAGCACTTGCACATTTATTATCCAAAAAAGAATATTGCGAACAGTGACCAGCACTCATAAGCTGGAGTCTTGCAAATCCTTGTTTAATAAACTAAGGATTCTTCCTCGACCATGCACGTATATATTTGAAATAGTGGTCTTCACATAGAAAATTCTCATGGAAAACAAAGACACTTTTACTTTAAATTTTGATGTACACAACTACAACACCCGTCAAAAGGATAACCTACATGTTCCCCACTCTGAAACTACACTTTATCAAAAAAGTACCCTAATAGAGGGTATTACACTTTACAACAAACTAGGCAATGGTATTAAAGACATAAACACAATTCATACATTTAAAAGTAAATTGAAAGCTTTCCTGCTTAACAACATGTTCTACAGTGTAAAGGAATATTCAAATTAAAACATTTCCCTTAAAAAATATAAATAAATAAGAATTTCTTATCCCATTAGACTTTCTGTTTGATGTTAACTGTTTCGAGCTGAAGCAAAGAAAAAAAGGAATTGGCATATCACATCCTGTGATGTAGAAGGAGAATGCCTAAAAAAAACAAACAATTCTGTTTCTCTCTGGACCATGTGTACAAATTGAAAGAAGAAAAAAGAAAAAAAAACTGGTCAAAACTTGCCTCCTTACCATTTCAAGTTTTAAATATAGAATGTATTAATATTGTTAAGTTTTATGTAGTTGCCAACAATTGATATGTATTGTCCTAATATTATTATTATTAATGTAATTATTATTGTTATTTTGTTTATTCTCAAAGTTTTTGGTTTCACATGGATACTACACAGATACAATATCAAAGCATGGTAACACAGACATATTTAAAATCTACAAAACAAATTAAGGCAT